TGTTCAACCATGGGAATAAGATGGCTTTTGGCCCACATTCCTGAAGTTCATCAACATAAAGACGAAACATATCCAAAAACCCTTTATTTAAAAACTAAAGTTTTTTGGTGGAAGAAATTTGAAACACAATATATAGAAGAAAAATTCGAAAATTGGAAGAAAATGGGCCTTATCAGCCAAAAAGGCCCAATGCCAAGAGAAATGTCATCAATAAAAGATAAAGGAAAATCCATTATAGATCTATCACAACTCCCTTCATCAAAAATTGAAAAGGCCCAATTAAAACAAAAAATGATCGAAGCATTATCCTCTTTGGGCTCCGATGAAGAAGAAGAAGAAGAAGAAGAAGAAGCTGAAGTCATCATTAATCTTCAAGATGCTCAGAATCCATATGAAGAAGAAGAAGAAGAAAACGTCGATTTTGATCAGTTTTAGCAATTAATTCCCCCAGAATTTATGAAGATAATTAATATTATCATGAACAGAAGATCAACCAAAGAAGAGTTACAAAGAAGAATTTATCACATTGTACAAAAATTGGAAGACGAAGACTCTCAAGAAATCTCCCTCTAAGAAAAAGCATCTTAGTAAGAAGCTGGGCTTAGTTGGCCCATCGCCTAACAGATGCTATAGTTCTACCTTCAGAAAAGATTCAGTGGGTTATTCATGCAAATTGAGGCCCACAAAGTTGAAAATAAAGTCCTTGTAATTATGCTATTTTGTTTTTAGCGTCGGCCGCCGAAAGTAAAAACGTGTCAGTTGTAATTATGTTTTGTTTTTAGCATAAGTGTGTTAGAAATGTAGGCTGAGATCAAGAGGGGGTGAATTGATCTTTGAAAGATTTTCGCAATTTACAGATTATCTATTTCAAAGATTAAGAGTTCTGACCAATTCTTGAATCAAACACAGCAAACAATCAAAGTAAAAACAATGACAGAATTAAAGAGAGAAAAGTTTAGAAAGATACAACCAAGATTTATACTGATTCACCCAATCCCAGGGCTATGTCCAGTTTCCAGCCAAATTTCAGCTGGGTTCCACTAGATTGAACGTTTTATAGATTACAACTTCAATCCCATACTCAATCTACCACAAGAACCAAAATTCTAGTCCCTGCACCTAAACCTTTACCAAGAACCAAATTCCAGTTCTTGAACAACCATGCAGCCAAATTCCAGCCACAGAAACCAGTGCCCACAATTCCAGGCACCCACAATACAGTAAAGAAACAAAAGAGAAGAAACTAGAACACCCAAACCAGGTTTATGCAGCTCTGCAGAATGAGTTTCTTCTCCAAAAGAATGCAAATATTGCCTCAAGAAAAAACTTCTAAGAACTTCACAAAACTAGCGCGATTCTCTCTTGAAAGTAGCACTTATGATTGCTTGATTGATTACCAAAAGGTGTATTTTAAAAGGTTGAAGCAATTTCGTTTATATAGAAGATTTTCCAAACTCGCTGTTTTATTTAATATGTTAAAATAATCTTTTAATCTATTAAAAGTATTGTTTTAATCTGTTAAAACTTCTTTTAATCTGTTAAAATGTTCTTGATTATTTTCCAAATTTGTTTTAACTGATACGACAATGTTTATATCAATTAAAACTCTTTGTAAAAAATCTTCCAAATTGTTTTAATCGATTGTTTCGTCTTTCAATCGATTAAAATACTCGCTAAACATTCTTATAAACTTTTCTAAGTGATTTTAACTGATAACAATCTATTTTAATCGATTAAAAATCTTTGGAAAAAATTCACTTAGTTATTTTAATCTATTGAAACGCATTTTAATCGATTGTAATTCTGCCAAAAGATTTCATAAAACATTCTAAGTTATTTTAACTGATAGCAAGCTTGTTTTAATCGATTAAAACATTCTGGGAAAACCTCTTAGTTGTTTTAATCGATTATTTCGCATTTGTATCGATTAAAATTCTGACAGAACAACTTTCAAAACACTTCAAGTCATTTCAATCGATTATTTCGAGTTTGCATCGATTAAAATTCTGCCAGAACACTTTTCTAAATATTCTAAGTTATTTTAATCAATTATATCAATTCTATATCAGTTAAAATACTGACAAAAGGTTTTCAAAAAACCTTCTAATGAAAACAATCGATTATTTCGAAAACATATAAGTTAAAAACCTGTTACAAAAGTATTAAGAACATTTTAGTTGATAAAACTCATATACTATTAGTTAAAATAGTTACTTCAAAAACCTTTTTAACAAAATACTTTGTTTTTAACCGTTTAAACACGTTTTAAAGGCATATGCAAAATCTTTTAAATGAAAAAAACCTCATGCAGCAGAGAGATAAAAATGACTATACCTAAGTAAAGATGCAGACTCACTAATCACACTACCCTTTTTTCTAAGTGACCTTTGACTGCAGCAAAGTAGCCTTTGACTTCATTAAATCAACAAGATCTTTGCTAAAGTAATTCAATAAGATCTTCATCTCTTTCAAGGTGTCCATTGTAATTATGTTTTTTGTCGGCCACTTGTTACAATAGTGTGTCAGTTGTATTATTGAATAGGAGAACTTTTAAGCCTATAAAAGAGTCAGTTGCTGAAGTAGAATTTACAGCTCTCTTCAAGCCTTAAACTCTATCTTCCTCAACTAACTCCTTCATCGCCTAAGTTCCCAGTCTTCCCTTCTCTCCCCAAATAATATTGAATATTGTAAGTTTTAAGAAATTTCGTAATAATATCTTCTTCTTTCTACACTTCTTCTCTTCCGCTTTAATATATGCGCGCTATATATTCATTAGTCTTATCATTTAACAACAAGAGATAATAATAATTTATCTTTTCATACGTTATAATTTTATTATATATTTTTTTTCGAAAAGTCTTTTAGAGACAGAAGAGGATAATTTCAGAACACATCATGTGTTTCTAAATAAAACATTTTATATATACTTTTTTTTTCTCTTAATTCATCATCCAATGTTTTTTAAAAAATAAAATAGACTACAATTCAAAAACATAAATATATTAATAAATACCAATAATACTATTATCTCGAAAATTGACAGTCTTTTAGTTCTAAATAATATATATACATATATATATATATATATATATATATATATATATATATATATTAATTAATTAGTATTGGTGGGTACCATGTTCTCACGTTACTTTATCATGGTGGTACCATTGGCATGTTACTTTATGTTTCTCATTTGTTTTTTATTTTAAGATTTAAATTTTAAGATCTATCCACATGCATGAAGATTTGAAACCATTAATGGCAAGTTCTCTACAATCTCTTATTCTCTCCAAAATCGATTTTTCTTCTTCACTCCATTCTCTTCATCCATTTTGCTTTTCTTTTTCTTTAGAATTACGTGGACACGTGAGAATTTAATTTCCTAGCTTAAAATAATTAAATTACTAACTTATTAGACTAAGTTTTTTCAAATAAAATTATTTTAAAAATTCTCAAGTTTTTAAAAAAAATTATTTTAATAAATCTCAAATTTTATACCTAAATTTATATTATGTTTCTAAAGAACTCAAATTCATAAAGTCTTAAATTAATAAAAACTCGTTTTATTAATCTCCTCGTATAGCAACATCAAGTTACATCTAACTCAAAATTTCTAATGAATTTTAAAGAAATAATAATAAAAAATTTCCCAAATAAAACATATAATTAAATAAAAGTTGCAATCTTCTTATAAAAAATATTATGACGTGTTTAGATCTAAAAATAAATTAAAAATAGATAAAGGATCTTAAAAAGACGTTTAGAAAGATTATTTTATATCATGAATGCGATATTTGTTTTATTTAAAAGAAAATACTCAGTCTCGTAAGAAAGTAACGAAAGTAAAACTATTAGATCAATAATATTTAATTACGCAATTTCAAAATTTTTAAGAATTTTAATGAGAAATTAATTACTTTATTTTTTTATTTGATAAAAAGATTGATTGAGATAAATTAATTCAAGTTTTGCTTTCATATTTTAATTTTTAAATTTAGATAAAATATTTTTTTTTCATAATATAATACATAAACATCGTATATATTATATTAAAGGTTAAATATGTTATCTTTTTTTATATAATTTATAATGAAAATTAATTTCGTTTTATAATTTAAAACTTAGTAAATTAGTCTTAAAAAAAATCTTTTGTTATTTTTATTACAATAAAACATAACCAAATATCAAATCTCAGTATAAAAAAATGAAATCATATTTAGTTCTTTTATAAATTTATTAAGATAAAATCATGATTAAAAATTAAATTTAAATATAAAATATTAAAGTTCATATATTTAAAAGTTAAAAATTTGAATTAATCAATTTAAAAAAATATATAAGATTTAGAAACAAATTAAAAAAAAAAACTTTTTCTTTGTTTGAAATTCTTTATTCTTGAAATGTTATTTGAAATGTTTTGTTAGTGTACTTGAAAAATTATCGTATAAATTTTCTATCATTTTTGTCCCATATAATATTATCTGAAAATTTTAAAACAATTTAAATTCATTACATAAACAAAAATTAACCTAAAAATTTAAGTTCTTCCAATACTAACCAATCAAAACTCTATTCATTCTCAATTGTAAGTAATAAAAAACTGAATACACACTTGATGTATTAACTTTTACTAATATCATAGTATTATTCTTAAAATATTTTTCATCGAAAAACAATAATACTGTAAAATTTTAATTGTAATATTAAAAAAAATATATCGATATAAAGTAAAGTGATTAAATTAAAAATTTATTTATTTTAATAAGGAAAAGGGTAATTAAGAAAGTACAAGCAAAGTCTTGAACATACCATAAAGTTTGTACCATTTTCCAATCTCCTCTTCTCAAATCAACACCTTTTCTCTCCTCTTGCATCACCTTCTTCTTCTTCTTCTAACGTCCACACCCACCTTCAAGAACACACCAAAGCAAACCAAACCGAGTGAGAGTGAGCAAGTAAAGATTGATTAATCTCTCAACTATACACTTTCTTTTGTAATGGTTGCTGTCCAAGGTTCCAAGGTCCCTCTCCCACACCCTTCCTCCCTCTCTCCCTCTCCCCATCTCCACACTTCCATCCTCTTTGAACCCTCCTCCCTTTCTCTTGCCCTTACCCATACTGATTCCTCCCTTTCTCTATACCCTTCATTCTCCCCGCTTTCCCCTTCTTTCTCTCCACACCAAACCCAAACCCTAACCATTCCCTCCCCCTCCTCCTCCTCCACCTTCCTCCTCCTCCAACAACACCCATCAGCCGCATCAGCCGTCATCTTCCTTGTCTCCTCCCCCCACCGCTCCCGCATCCTCCTCCGCCTCTACCGCCTCCGCCGCCGCGAAGCCCCCTCCTTCGCACGTGTTACACGTGTCCTCTGTTCGCATAAAGACCTCTGCTTTGAGCCCGGCCTCGGCGTCATCCTCGACGCCAAGCACGGCGCCGCCGTCAGACTCGCCGCTTCCGTCAACTACTTTGCGCTTTACGCGCTCTCCAGCAACAAGGTATGGGTTTTCGCCGTCAAAGACGAAGATGGTGGTGGCCGCCAAGATGGCAACAACAATAACAATGATGATGACAGTGGCAGTGGTGCTGGTGTGAGATTGATGAGGTGCGCGGTGATTGAGTGCGCAAGACCGGTTTTTTCTTTGAGTGTTGCATTTGGGTTTCTGATCCTTGGGGAGGAGAATGGGATTAGGGTTTTTGGGCTTAGGAGGCTTGTGAAAGGAAAAAGTGGCAACAAGAGGTTTGGGAATTCGAAACATTTGAGGAATGGTGGTGGTGTTCGAGGAGGGGGTTTGGAGGTGGTGAACTGCAATGGTGATTTGGAAGGGAAGATGGAAACACATGGGGTTGCTGCTGGTAGGTGAATGAGTAAACTCTTTTGTAAAATAGTGTTAGGTGTTTTGATTTTGAATTCTAATAGAATGTGCCTGAACTGTTGACTAACACTAGATTGTCACGAGTGATAAGAAGGTACAACCGTGTAATACTTACTTCAAAAATTGAACTAAGGGTTAACAGTTTGATTTCTAGATTGATATTGGATTTAGTTAGAATGTACTCAGACGGTCAACTAATACTGGATTATCATGTGTGATAAGACGGTTGAACTTTGTAGTAGTTAATTTAAAATCGTATTTAGGGTTAACAGTGTGATTTCTAGGGTGGTTTGAATTTAATTAGAGTGCACACTGTCATCGAATCATGGATTGTCATATTCATAAGAAGGTTAATTTTTTTATGATTGTTTTAAAAGTTATATATAAGGTGGTTTATAGTTGCTTTGGTTGACATATACACTGACAATGCATGAAAATTATTAACTTTCAAGTTCTCAGCAGAATTTGAAAAGCTAATGCTGTTTTTATTGGTTTTGGCTCTCAACTTTGGTATGTTTGGCTTTTGATTTAGTGATGTGTTTTTGATGAAAATAGGCTCTACATGAATATAACTTGTAGGAGTACTTCATCAAAGATTACTAGTCTGTATAGGAAATTCAATAATCATCATTCAGTGCTTAGGATGGCCCTTTTCCAGCCAAGGTCAGCACTTCAGTTAGTGGCCCCTGTTTTGACGTTTCTCTTCTAGCCTCTGGTCACACTTTGCAGGCCTGTTCTGTCCTTTAACTTTTGCCTTTCTGTCATCTTCTTCCTTGTTCACGGAGCTTGTGCTGGGCTTTATCAGAAGCCCTAAAAAAAGTAACGCACTTTGCTGACAATTTTGTCAAAAATGGAGAAAAAACATTTTGTACTCTATTCAAACTCTAAACAGTTCTACTTATAGAGTTTCTTCTGTGAGAGGTACATTTGTCAGAAACCCACTGTAAAATGAGTTCAATTTGTTCAAACTTAAATAGGGTTCTTAGTGGTTACCCATTTTTTTAATTCATTGATTGGTGATAGTTCCTTCGTTTGCACTGGACTATTTCTCTTTGACCAGCTTGACATCCTTTATGTTAAGCATAAATTGATGAGTAATTTACTGCTTACTCTAGTACAGTTTTAGAACTTAACAAATACCTAGTTGGAATGTGGTATTGGTTAAACTATGGGATCGAAAGGATATTGATCTCTGTTCTTTTACCATCTCTTTCATTTTCAAACAGTGAATAATTTTGTATAGTGATTGATATTACCAGCCTATGTGTATTACAGCATGGTGTTTCTTGGTCTGCCTGCTTTCAAGTTTCAGTAGCTTTAGCCAAATATCTACCCTGGTCAAAAGTGACAAATTGCATTTCTATATTTAACTTTTGCTAACAATTTTGTAGCTATTTCTCGTTGACCAGGATATGGGTGCGAGACAAGGTGCTGTCCTTTGTTTAATCTCAAGATGTTTTAATGGTAAATAACTAAATATTAAGAACATATCTTCAACAGCAAGCTGTATTTTTAATTTCTTGTGATAAAAATGGAATCTCTGACTAGAAGACTGGCAATCTACTTTCATTATCTCCCTATATTTTCTTACAGTGTAGATCTGTAGGGATCTCATGATCTGATTACTTGATTCTGTGCATAATTGTTAATTTCCAATTTAACCTAGTATATTACCTAATCTATGTTTTTCTACTTTCAGTGAAGCAAACAGTTAAATCAAAACACGATGACAGAGATGGAGGTTCATGTTTTGTGGTGTTGAAGGGAAATGAAGTCAATACAAAATCTGCAACAAAGGTATCTATGTCTATAAAGGCGATTTCCGTTCAGGCTGTGTCCCAGAGGATGTTTCTAATCTTGGATTCTCATGGAGATTCACATTTGTTATCCCTGTCACATTCTGGCGTAGGAGTAGATATAGCTGGTAATGTTAGGCCACTGCCTCGTACAATGGAAGTGAGAAGTATTGCTGTTTTTCGTGATCTCTCTAATAGTAAGTGTCACTTTCCTTGTCTTATTTTACTTTTTCAAAATTCAATCTGTGGTTGCTTTCTTAGTGAAATGTATTATATTGGTGTTGGCAAAAGCTGCTAAATATGTTGATCATCACCGAAAGCTCCTAATTAGCTTGTTGATTGATCGCAATTGCATTATATATATGGGACTGGTGTGTACATCCAGGAGACAAATTTCCCAATCATTCTCTTTCATCTATAAATGTAAGGCAGGCACTGGGGGATGGGGAAGACTGAATAATTAGTTTTCTTTTCTATCTATGATTAAGTGTTTCTGTAATCAACAAATTTAAGAAAATCACTTATTTAAAAAGCGGGTAGCATTTGCTTATTATGTTGGAACTACAAACTTTATTTAAACATAAATTCACATTTTGCTATTATGCCTGATTGCCTATTATTATAGAACTCAAGATTGAAGAGATGCTTAACATAAAGCTCGGACCTTGTAGTTGGGGGACTTTTCAATCCATATATGCAATCATTGTTGACACACAACTTGCTGTGGTTGAGATTTGAGACTGGATGAAACACAAGCATACTGCCTTTTCAAGTATAATGATGGAAATGGAGTATTTAAGACTGATTTAGTAAAAGAAGCTTTGAATATTCCCCGTCATTTTGATGTACAAATCTATTAACTAATTACATTGTTTTACAGAGTTGGTTTTATTTATTCAGTGTTTGTAGTCTTGAAAATAATCAAATTATAAAAATAATAAGCCTTATTGAGCTTAAGACCTTTTATCTGAGTTATAAAGTGAACGAACCTACCCCAATTTTAGAATCAGTTTGAAATGTGTTTGTGCAGTCTAACCCATAAATTTAATGAGATAAACATTAGAGACTTATTACTTGACAATTACTGAAACCAAATAGTTATAAATTTTGATGTCACTAGTATTAGAATATATGGAAGTATCTTCTTTTTTTATCATATTTTGTATTTTCATTTAGAATTACTTTCTATTTCCCATTATCTCTGGTGACTGGTACCTGGATTTTCTTATCTCATGATTTGTATCCTCATTTAGTTATGATTATGATAAAACTACCAACAAGGGTCCTTTAGGTTTCATAAACATCCCATCACATCATAATACAATTAAGTCAGTGTCGAAGTAGTGTTTCAGCCTTGTTTCTCTCTCTCTCTCTCTCTCTCTCTCCATTTTCATTCCGTGTAACTAATACCATAATTTCAACAATGCTTTTTAATTGTTCTCTTGGGCATTGCTTTGCTCTTGTTCACTCAAACCTACTTGTTCTTATAAAATGTTTCGGAGTTTTTGTTGTAATACAATTGCTATAAGGCGAGTTAGACATTGCTATGACTTGTGTTTGTTAATGATTTGTGGTTTCATCACATATTCATGTCCTGGAGATATGTCTATCATTGAATTTCCCTAGAGAAAAAAAAGGCGTTTGAAGGTTCACTAATTTGTGGTTGGAAAGGTTACCCTGGCTGCTAGTCTACATGCTTCGTGCATGACCTGTGGTTCAGAAAATAAAATAGACACTCAGTTGCTTCAAAATTTAAGCTTCAGGATGTCAATAGCACTTTGATAACAGAATGATGTTAAAAGTAATGGCTGTTCAGTTAGTTATTAGATATAATGCATTAAGAATAAAAAAAAATTAAAATTCTAATTTATTCTCTTGTACAAGTGCGTTTTATTTTGTATTTTGTTCTTACTGCAGCTAAAATTGCTTATTATTTTGCAGTGTCTCAGACTATTTGGATATCAGATGGATGCCATTCTGTACACATGTTCGCTGCAATGGACATAGAAAATGCTTTAAATGAAGCTGATGGAAATGATTGCAATGAAAAGCTTTTGCATCTCCCAGGTTCACAAACTTTCATTTCCATTATTGATTGAATTATTTATTGAATCAGAAATCTGAGTTGTAATTTTCTTCTTGTACGAGTAGCAGCACAACTTGAGCTCAAATATTTTAAGAATATACTTAATCATGTATTGAATGGTATTAACATATTTCCTAGGTTGTCAAAGTTAGAGTTTAGGTAAACTCGGGATAGGTTGATAAATTCAACATGTAGATTCAATTCGGAAACTTACAACTTGGAAACTTCCATAAAATCTGATTTTGGGCCTAATTTCTGCCTTTGCAATAAATTTTCCAACTCATCTTTAGAATTGCAATTCTGACCAATTCAAGTCTACCCAAGTTTTCAAGTAAGTTGACATGATTTTCTACTTTGTTCATAATCCTAAATAAATAAGGAAATAAATCATGAAATGTAATTAATTGTAAAAACAATTCCTAAGAGATCCTCTAAAATAATATGAAATAATTTAAGATAGATAATGATATTATGAGATGGTCTAGGTATTCTCTTAAGTCAGCCTCAAAAAGGACACTTCATCAAGCTAAAACTTTCTATGATATAAGATTGTGCGATTAAAGTATTAAACATACTAAAAGATAGCAAACTAAAAAATATAACACCGTGCCAGACAAACATGTTGGGGATTGGAGATGGAGCCACTGCAACTGGGACTGGAAATGGGTTTGATTTGAGTCATAGCCATTATCAGCACCATTGTAAAAATCATGAACAGGTCAAAAGTCAACACTAGAATGACCATTTGTGGATTATTTATTAGTAGACTGATTGTCAGTATAAAAATATATAACATGATCATTCTCACTGTCCCTGTGAATACTATTCTGCCACTGTAAAGGAGAATAACAGTAATGAAAACAATTACAAAAAAAAGGTAATGACCACATGAATGCATAGAAATATCCCAAACTAGTCAAACCAGAGAGATAATACATCAGATGTGATTAGAAAGACATGGCCTGATAGATACGGTATTGTGTATAAGAGAAGAAAATAAAAATAAAAAAATAAATGAGAGCTCGGCACTTGAGCTAGGCAATACTTATATAAGTTGTTTGGGGGTTAGGAGGGGTTAGGAAGTCTATTGTAAAGGAAAGATAGAGGACGGACTGAGAGTTATCTTAGGCTAGCTTTTCAGGAGATCTTGTGTGAACAATACTGTTGGTTCACTTGTCACATTGACTGAGTTCTACCTTGATTCAATACAGAAATAATATTCAGTTCTCTTAAGGATTGTTCGGAACCTATCAATTTGTATGAGTAGTCACAATCTTGGTATTGTGGAAGGGCAACATCAGGGCATGGTTACTACGAGGATGGAGGCTAAACTGGATGGGCTTGAAAAGATGATTCAAGAAATGGTCCAAGATCGGGATAAACGGGATAATGAGTACCATGACCGCTTTCAACGCATATAAAACTTATGTTAAGGTTCCAACATAATACCAATTGGCAATATGTGGAGTAGCCTAACATGTATTTAAATCATACCAAATGACACGAGGTAGGCGATGTGGGACTTTCAACATAAATCATACCAAATGACACGAGGTAGGCGATGTGGGACTTTCAACACGCCCCCTCCAACGAAGCCTGCCGGACCAGGCAAAGGATACTTTTGACCAAACTAAAGGGCAACTTTTGGCCCATGACAATAACCGGAAAGATGTTAGGTTTTGGCTCTGATACCATGTTAAGGTTCCAACATAAAACCAATTGGCAATATGTGGAGTAGCCTAACATGTATTTAAATCATACCAAATGACATGAGGTAGGCGATGTGGACTTTCAACAACTTATTAGGGGGATTATCGGGCATTGTGGAGAAGATTGCGTCTGGGGAAAAGTTTGGTGACAGCCCTTCCAGTGGGGTTAATCGCAAGGACGGATCACGGCAGCTGCATTCGGATCTTGATTCAGCTCATTCAAAATGGGGAAAACTGGATATTCCAATTTTTGCAGGAGATGATGCTTATGGTTGGACGAATAGATTGGATCGTTATTTCAAATTAAATCAGTTTATGAAGAGGAAAAGATGCAGGCGGTAATGGTGGGAGACATGTAATACGCATCCTTGTTGGGAAGACTTTAAGGTGGCAGTGGTTCGACGCTTTCAACCAAATATGTTAAATAGCCCATTTGAAATTTTGATTGGGTTAATGCAAAACGCTTCAGTGGATGAATACATAAAGCAGTATGAACAATATGCGGGTTTCTTGAAAGGGATTGAGCAAGAATACTTGGTGAATATTTTCTTGAATGGATTAAAGGAAGAGATTAAGGCAAAGGTCAAGTTATATGAACCCCAAAACCTTGAGGAGTTAATGCGGAAAGCCTTGATGGTGGAAGACAAAATGCGAGTAATGGCTAAAAGCGGTTCATCCATTGTTCAGCATTCTTCATCTAGTTTTAAACCTTATACCATCACCAGAAGTATGTTGAGGGAAATAGGACCAGTCGCAGGTTCTGTGAACATAAATGAGGGAAAAGGGAAACCAGTGGATATGATCAGTGTCAGTGGCAGCAATGCAACATCAGCACGTTCCAGGGGGGCTCCCTTTCGAAAGTTATCAGAAGTTGAATTGCAAGATAAGAAAGTTATCAGAAGTTGAATTGCAAGATAAGATCAAAAAGGGTTTTTGTTTTCGGTGTGATGAAAAATATGGCCCAAACCACATTTGTAGGAATAAACAACTGCACATGTTGTTATTAATTGACGAAGAAATTACAGGCTTGGGGGTGAGTCAAGAAGGAGTGGGGCGCAATGAGGAAGTGCAGGTTGCTACGGATCGAATTTTGCAGTTATCCTTGTGTACTATGGCTGGTCTAACCACAAAGAAATCTTGGAAGTTATGGGGAAACATTGGATAGGAGAAAGTGGTAGTATTGTTGGATTGTAAGGCCTCTCACAATTTTATCTCCTCTAACCTCATCTCCAGGTGTAGGATGCAGAGAAAAGAGACACCCCCTTTCGTGGTGGAGGTTGGTGATGGCCACAAGATTCAATGCCAAGGAAAATGCCACGGGTTTTTCTTGAATCTGCATGGGTGTTGTATCCAACAGCAGTTCTATGTTTTTGACTTAAGTGGGGCGGATTTGGTGTTAGGGTTGGAATGCCTAGCCATTTTAGGGGAGGTGAAGGCTGATTTTGGCCAATTGAAATTAATTATTGGCAAGGGTGATGCTGGGAGTTTGGCCAATTGAAATTGTCTTAACAGGAGATCCTACCTTGTCTAAGTCTCAAACCTCGTTCAAAGGGCTGCTACAAGAATGGGAGAATGACAGATTGTGTGACCTTGTCCAATGGACAAAAGACACAGATGCTATCACCACAGAAATCCCTACAGAAATACTGCAGTTGCTGGGAATGAGGAAGTTTTTCAAGATCCAGTAGGTCTACCCCCTAGTCGCTCTCATGATCATGCCATACACCTCCAACAAGGTACTTCAATACCAAACCTACGGCCCTATAAATACTCCCATCAGCAGAAAAATGAGATTGAGAGGCTGGTGAGAGAAATGTTGCAAGCTGGGATTATAAGGCCGAGTATCAGCCCTTATTCAAGCCCGATTATTTTAGTAAGAAAGAAAGATGGAGGGTGGCGTTTTTGTGTGGACTATAGGGCTCTAAATAAGATTACCATTCCCAATAAATTTCCCATACCTGTGATTGAGGAATTATTGGATGAACTTGTAGGGGCAGCCATCTTTTCTAAGTTGGATTTAAAATTAGGTTATCACCAAATCAGAATGAGGGACTGTGATGTTGATAAAATTGCCTTTCGAACTCATGAGGGCCACTATGAGTTCTTAGTCATGCCTTTTGGGTTGACTAATGCTCCTGCCACTTTCCAATCCTTGATGAATGATATTCTTAAACCTTTTCTGTGGAAGTTTGTGTTGGTATTCTTCAACGATATATTGGTATATAGCCCGGATTTGGCTACTCATGGACAACATTTACAACAGGTCTTGTTGATACTCAAGAGCCATCACTTGAAGTTAAATAGAAAGAAGTGGAGTTTTGGTCAGTTGAGCCTGGAATATTTGGGGCACATTATTTCCAGCAAAGGAGTGGCAGCCGACCCCAAGAAAATAGAAGTTATGCAGACTTGGCCCGTTCCTAAGGATGTCATAGCTTTGAGAGGGTTTTTGGGTTTGACCAGGTATTATAGAAGGTTTGTGAAAGGCTATGGGAAGATTGTCAAGCCATTGACTCAACTATTAACGAAGGATGGGTTCCACTGGAGTGAGGAGGCTCAAAAATCATTTGAGGAATTGAAGGGTGTTGTAACTCAACTTCCCATTTTGACTGTTCCAGACTTTTCTAAACCATTTACGGTGGAAACTGATGCTTCCAGTAAAGGGTTAGGGGCAGTCTTATTGCAGGAGGGCAAAAGAAGTCGGTCTATGAACAGGAATTGATGGCAGTGGTCCAGGCCATTCATAAATGGAAGCATTATTTAATGGGTTTCTTAATGACCAAAGACTATTGATAGAAGAGCAATTTAAATGGGCTTCCAAACTAATTGGGTTTGATTTTGAAATCCAATTCCGGCCAGGCAGAGAAAATACAGTGGCCGATGCGTTATCTAGAAAGGGGTATTTTTTGGCTTTATCTACTTTCCAAAATGCAAAATGGGACACTTGGCAAGACGAAATCCAACATGATAGCAAACTCAATTCTTTAATTCAAGATTTAGTGGCGGATCCGACAGCCCATCCAGGATATGAATGGAAGAAAGAAAAATTATTTTATCAAGATAAATTGGTCTTATCCAAATCATCTTCACACATTCCTCTTCTTCTAAAGGATTTGCATGAATCTCCATTGGGTGGCCATAGTTGTTATTTCAGGACTTTTAAAAGAGTCGCAGAGGTGGTTTATTAGGAAGGAATGCAGCGGGACATTAAGAATTTTGTCATGTAATGTGCAATCTACCAACGCAATAAGACTGATACTTTGGCCCCAGCGGGCTTACTGCAGCCACTACCAATACCGACTCAGGTTTGGTCGGATATTTCCATGGACTTCATTGGAGGGTTACCTAAGGCTCAAGGGAAAGACACAATATTCATTGTGGTGGATAGACTGACAAAGTATGCACATTTTTATTCTTTATCACACCCGTTTACAGCAGCTGAGGTGGCTCGATTATTTCTTAAGGAGGTTGTCAAACTGCATGGGTTTCCTTCCACCATTGTGTCTGATCGTGACCAGTTGTTCTTAAGCACATTTTGGAGAGAATTATTTTGTCAAGCCGGCACCAAATTGAAGTTTAGCACTGCATACTATCCTCAGACAGATGGTCAAACAGATGTCGTCAACTGTTGCTTGGAAACATATCTATGCTGCATGACGGGTGTCCAACCAAGAAGATGGCCTCAATGGCTTTCGTGGGCTGAATTTTGGTTTAATACCAATTACAATGCGTCAGCCAAAATGACGCCATTTAGGGCTCTCTATGGTAGAGACCCTCCTCTACTTCTTAAAGGAGCTACAATTCCATCTAAGCTGAAAAGTGTTAATCAGCTGCAACAAGAGAGGGATGACATTCTTCAGGAATTGAAAATGAATTTACACAATGCCCAGGACCAGAATCGTGTCCAGGCCAACAAACATCGTAGAGAACTGGTTTATCAAGTCGGCGATTGGGTCTACCTTAAGCTGCAACCTTCTAGGCTTAAGTCTTTGGCTAAAAGACCCAATGAGAAGTTGGGACCTCGCTTCTATGGCCCTTATCAAGTGCTGGAAAAAATTGGCCAGGTTGCATACAGGTTGGAGTTACCTCCTCACACTCGAATTCATCCAGTCTTCCACGTCTCTCTGTTGAAGAAGGCTATTCATCCACCTGCTGTTTCCCAGCCATTGCCCACAATATTGAACGAAGACCACAACTCAAGGAGACCTGGAAGTTCTCATTCAGTGGCAGAACCTGCCATCTATTGAAAATAGTTGGGAGTCGGCTGAGACTATTGCAAAAGAGTTTCCTGCATTTCACCTTGAGGACAAGGTGAAAAACTTTAGGGGGGGAGTAGTGATAGATACTTATTGTGTTAAGAGAAGAAAATAAATTAATTAATTAATGAGAGCTCAGCAGGAGAGCTCGGCGCTTGAGCTAGGCAATGCTTATATAAGTTGTTTTGGGGTTAGGAGGGGTTAGGAAGTCTATTGTAAAGGAAAGATAGAGGCAGGACTGAGTTATCTCAGGCTAGCTTTTCAGGAGATCTTGTGTGTACAATACTGTTGGTTCACTCTTGTCACATTGACAGAGTTCTACCTTGATTCAATACAGAAATAATATTCAGTTCTCTTAAGGATTGTTCAGAACCTATCACGGCCTAAGGGAGCAAACGGGCACTAGAATGTAACAGATAAAAGGCATGGAGACTGGACCTAATCCCTGGATGGAATGCAAAGAAAATGACAGTGAAGGTGGAAGGAATTGGAGAGAGAGAGAGAAAATGATGGTGGGGTTGATATAAATAAAGCTTAGTGAAATTTTCGTCTCAACTCACATAATTTGGAAATCATAGCAGTGATTTCTTTTATATAAATATTTGAGCTCATGTAATGGAAATCATTGGCTATAATATTATCTAATTTGTTCGATTACTGAATAAGCAATTGACAAAATGGCATTTATCCTATATTTCATTATAAATATAAATAAGGATTCTATAACTCCTGATAGTTTCCTTATCTTCACTTTTTATGCATACTATTGGTAACTTTTGCTTCTGTTTCAGTTGTACGAGTTCTTTTCTCCAGTGAGAAAATCCAAGATATAATTTCTCTATCTGCAAATTCCATTCTGATTCTTGGACAAGGTGATATATTTACTTTTCTTTTTATATTTGACTTATTAAATTCTATGGCAAGGACACTTATGCATTTTCTTCCCCCCTTCATTTGACAAACCATAATAAAAAGTTAAGGAAAAAAAAAGTACTTATGGCATGTCACTAAGTCTTTGTTAAATTCTCATGTGCATCTTCTTATATCATCTATTTAATTTTTTTTTTATTTGGGACATGTATATCATATTTAGAATTTCAAAACTACTATGGGCTACTTTGCACGTGTTTCCTACATTGTTTTCATGGGCCGAAGGTTGCTTTCATCTACCCCTACCCAAGACAGCAGGATCCCATAATGGTGGAAAACATGCCCTTTTAGTTCAGCTTCTAGTTCCATTCTAGAAATTATTGCGTATAATCTGCTTTTTTTTGCTCCTCTTGGGCAGTTCCTCGCTTGATATATCTTATTCTGCCTAATTACCATGTAAAATTTTCCCTACCCAACAGGAAGCTTGTATGCATATGCAATTTCCTGAAGCTGCTGTGACTTTTTTTATATTTTTCAATGGTAAGAATTTGCTTCATTCTTTGTTTAAATTCACTCTACCTGCTACAAAATTTGAAGTAAGCTTTGTTTTTAGGAAATCAATATTGGATCTCTTGGTGTTTCTAAAGTATACTGTTGTGGTTCATCGATAAATCCTATCTCTCGTAGTAAGTATTTTATCAGTTATAGCAAATATATTGTGTTATCCAAACAGTGGGATTTTCAGAACATGAAAATAAAATTTTCCTCTTGAATTTTTCTCCTCTATTACAAATTATTTGAATAACATGGCTGGCATATTCATAATTCTTGGATCAGGTGCTCTGATCCAACTCCTTATAATGCATCCCTAAGAGACTGGAGACCATGAAAGGTATGGAAAATTGTGATGCAACCCTTTTGGGTGCACACCTGGTTTTAGATTTTTGGTGAATATCTGTGATGCAACCCTTCTTGATTGTTAACCAAGCATGAGCTGACTCTGACAATGGATTCCATTTTTGTTCTTGTATCCATTGGCAGCAAGCATCATTGGACTGGTAATATACCTACCATGGAGTTATCTGTTTCTGGAGCTGTGATTTACAACAGCTTAAAGCCGCCTGTCCTGCAAAACCTGGCACAGTTAATTGCTGGAGTACATACGTCCAACAAAGAAAGTTGGCAATTCATGCAACTTGCTTGATGCTCATCTTCTTGAGGTTGGTTGAAAACATGGTTTTCTGCCAGAGAACTGAGCAAGGTTCTATATAAAAGGCTTGATCTTGGCAATTGTGTTGGTCCGTTTGTTGGAAGAGTGTTTACTAGATTTCAATTTTCTCATTATAGCTGTCTATTTACTACTGTGCAAGTTAGTGGGGATTGTATGTTGTTATTTATGCAGTGTTAACTTCATAGCCTATCATGTTTTGCTGTCTTAAAAAAAATCTCTATTTCCTTGATGTTGCTTTACCTAGTAATTGCGAAGAATTTATGTAAGTTTTGACACCTGTATTTATTCTTCGGCTGGGGAAGGTATCATTCATAACTGAAAGATGAAAAGAGAGAAGTCTAGGAAAATTGACAAAATATAGAGAAAGGACAAGGGGGTTTCCCCCAATCTCAGTTGTGTTTGATGGAGATGATTGTTGGAGTTAAAAATATTTGGTGGTGGAAAAATAAAACTGACAACTATATTGCTACATGCAAGGGAAGGATTGTTTCCATGCAAGGTCAAAGTAGATTTCCATAATCTTAACAAAGTTTAAAGTGAATAAATGGAAATAGGTGGGAAATGAAATGAAAATTGAAAGTGTTTGATAGAAGAAAAATAGAGAAGAAAGGCAGAATAGTAAAAGCAAGTTAATGATAAAATTAAAATTATTGGTTGAGTTTATTCTTTAAATTTCTTCTCACTGTTTCTTCTCTACTAAATAATCTATAACTAAATTCACCATCTGTTTTTCATTTCCCAACGATGCACGGGTGGAATTATAAATTCACTCAACCATTGTTACCCAATTAAAATGGGAATGACTTGAGTTAAACTGAACTAAGGAAAGCAATGATAAAACCAATGGCGTTTTCCCAAAAGGAGTGCTTAATAATTGGACATGGTATCAATCAAAATCTTGTTGCACAGGTGTTTGGGCACTGAAAAGATAAGACAATGGAGTGAAGGGAGGATGGAAATCTCCTAGAAAAGCAGGAAAATAAATGAAGTGAATGGACCCCAACTACCGAAACCTTTCTTTCTTGATACCTACTTGGCGTACACATCAGACAAAACTGATGACCATAAAGAGGCCCAGGTGGGGGCCCTTCCACTTCCATTATGTAAGGACCCTTGCATCATTCATTTTTGCTGGCTTTTAGAAGCATGTGGCTTGCACATGCAGAGCCACAAACCCTTTCTTGCTCCAATCTCCCCACTCTACTGACAAGTGACATCCACATTGACAATCACTTCACAGCCCATACTGAAAGCAACCCAAGAGTGCTTACTGATCATGCATGCAATCTCATTCCCAAATCCCACCTTGAAAAACAGTAATAATGCAGAGGGATTCACCCCCTCATTGGGCTTTCCTTAGGTTACAGTAAGAGAAGGTATCTCAGTTTTGACAATAAATGACCCGACTTCAGTTTTTAAGTGTCTTTTTTCAAAACAGTATTAGCCAAAATTAACAATGAATGGGACACAATTATATCATTCCAGGTGGTTTTAAGGTCTATCCTGGGACACCAGGTGTACTTAGTGATTAGGATCAGTTTTTTAATATTAAAATAGTATTCATATCCAACGAATATTAGTTATCAGTTTTAGGATATCATATGAAGCATGTTCATGAAAAAAAAAAGTATAAGTTTTCATCAGTATAACTGTTGGGGTTAGAATTTCTGATTAAATAAGCGCACAAATTTCATGTGATTTTGAAAAGAAAAAGATTAATGTAAAATTTATGGGTGAATTTGAGGTATTCCTCATCTAGGAACTAAGACCTAGTATCTGCAATTACTGATATATGTATAATCGCTCAGATAGTATCAAAACATTTTTAAGTAAAAGAAATGTCTATAACTTAATCATCAGAAACAAGGTTTTCATCTTTTAAGTGTTCAAATTTGCAAGAAATATGTGAATAATTTCTTTTATCTTTGTTCTCGTTGGTTTAAAGCACCCTATAATCTTCTCTGTGAGCTTTTATCATGGATGATGATCTGACTTACCCGATTGCAGCTAAAGGAGAAGTTTCCTGAATTGGGTATCAACATTTTGTCTCAGCAAACAAAAATTAATGGTTTCGTGAGCTGTATAACATCCGTTTGAATAAACGGAACACATTAAGGCATATGTTGGCCTTTTTAAGTGCAAAACAACAGAAAGGGTAACCCAAAAATGTCAACCTTTCTTTATCCAATTGCCACAAATTGATAACCAGATTGTGACCACCATTATTGTTTTGGAAAATCATGATGTTCCTGGTCAATTATATGAGGTAGTTCAGTAAGTTTGAAATATCTATAAAAGAATGTGCTTCATCTTCAAGTGAGTGCATATATATTAGAGTAAATAATTATTTTTATGGTCTTTTCTATATTAATTATTTTAAAAATCATACGACTTATGATCGATTGACTGTGAAAAGTCATATAATATGTTCCTGTGAGAAGTCTCAATTATAAAGAAAATGAGAACAATAAATTTGTCCCAAATAACCATATAACAAATGAAATTTGAAAGTATGTATATACTGAAAGTTAAGTTGATAAATTCTACTAATTTTATTTCTCTGTCAGTATATACTAAAGTTAAGTTGCTGATGCTAAAGTATATACTAAAGACAAAGTATAAATTTATGTTGCGTTAAAAGAAAGGATAAACTTTTCTTATAAAATAGTGTGAACTCATGGAATTTTGTGTGGCCCACATATTGTAATATCAGCTATTGCAGCAACCTGATTAATGGAACTAGAGGGAAAATGTACAAATTTATACTTTCTCTTTCCTCAACAGAGAACCGTATGAATCCAATGGTCTTTTTTGTGTACATTGATAAACTAGGAAGATTAAAACAACCTCACCCTGTACTAGTTGGGTCAAAGAACAATAAAGTTACTGGTGCAGTACTATGAATTTAATGCAGAGACCAAAAAAAGATAAAAGTAAAGATATAGTTGTAACATAGAAAGACATTTGAGCCATGTAGGTGTAGATTTGAGATTCAAAAGGTGGAAGGGCAAATTGTGCTAGAGACAGATTAAGTACAAAATCCACATGCCACCTACACCAAAAAGCTTCATCTTCTGAACTCTCCAGTTCTTTTTTAGTCATGTCATATATCTGCATCCACTTTTGAACCTGTGCAAAGTTTGGTACAGACCTTGAAATTTAGAACAATCCCAAGTCCTAAGTTCTCTCTCATTCATGGCCTCCACTGTGGAAATGCAACCATCGTATACTCCCAGGAAACAAGATGACTCAGATTTCAATTTGACAGAATGGGGAGTGAAGGGTAGAATCAGTAGAGAGAACAGCAAGTCCAGAAGGTACTCAGCATCATATATAAGAAGCTTTAGAGAAGACACAAGGTCTTTTAGATCAAACATAACCATTTCTAGCACTGCTTCTTCACCTGGATACCCTTTAAAAGGTACATTTCTTGTTCACTCCAGTTCAAAGAGTTGATGAAATTTTCTTTTTCCAACCTTTGATTTCCTTCGAATTCTCCCAATTTTGTCACAGATGAAATAGACCCTTCAACCTATTCCTTCACCACTGCTCTTAAAGGTACCAGAGAATGAATACTTAGCATAGAGGGTTTATAATATTAGTTGAATTTTTTCAACCAATTGCATGGTGGTCCACTGCAGCATTACAAGCAAGATCAGCCTATAAAAGTTGGGAGTGCCTATCTCCAGAAGGGTTTGCCTTGAATTCAAAGTGGAATGAAGCAGAAAAATACATATGCAACCCCTTTTCAGGGGAGGTACCATTGGAGTGTTTATCTGCGAAAACTCTCAGTGGAAGATCATTCAGAAATTCAACAACAAACAGAATTACCATGTCTGCCCCTCTTGTCTATTCCTCAAGACAAATGCAACCAAAGCCATCATCAACTTACAATAATTGCACACAAGAAGAAGCAGCTCTTCAATTTCACATTCCAGGTTCACATATACTTTAATTAGCTATAATGTATTGTTTCCTTTTGCAGTTTATTTCATGACACAGTTTTAAGGCACTTGAACCAAAAAATTCTGTATTCAGAAAAGGGAAAAGAGGGAATGACAAGAGATGCAGGTACTCAAAGTACACCTTATCTTAGTTCATGCAACCCCAGCACTGATTTAACTCCATCCATCATAAAGAGACCAATAAAGATATCTGAGGACTCTCTAAATTCAAACACCAAAACCATCACTGAGGAAGAGGTATGTGCTAGATTTTTCTTGCTCTTTATTTTTCATGAGTTGGTCAGAATCTGATATATTTCAGTTATGACCCTGACATTTTTGCTTCAGATTCATTCTCCTTTGGTCCTTAAATTATGAAACCCATTGATACTGTCCTTTTAATGACTACCACTAATTGAAGACACCAACATCAAAAAGGTGCAATCTTTAAAATATGATGTTTCATGTCCTTTTTTGTGGTACTTAATTATCCATTTTCCTTTAAAAATATTGGATTTGAGACCATTAGTAAATATAAAGTAAATAATCTTAATCAGCGATAATTATATAATATTATTTGTTAATTATATTATATATGTATGACAAACATCATTCATTTTTATGTTTGATAAAATCAAGCAAATATGAAAAAGAATAATGCATTTTGTGGGTGGGACTCAAGCATCTCAACCCTAGAAAAGATAAATTGCAACATTAAACATCTAAACCCTAGAAAAGATATATGGCAACATGGATTAAAAGTTGAGTAGTTATCCATGTTACCACCACATGACAAAGCACAAACACCATACACAAAAGTCAGCTTAGTTTATCACCAATTTAAAAAATGGAAAATGGAAAATTGAAGAGAAGAAATGAAGGAGAAACCTAGGCCAAGGGTGGGATTTCCAAGATAAGAGAATCAAATCTAGTTGTCATATGTAGTAGATTACAAGCTTCCAATGTGAAGTGTGGGGGCAGTACTAGATATATATTGGTCCCTCTCTCTGCTTCATGAGCACATGCCACTCAAGTTTTTGTCCCTTCATACTTACCCCAAGTTGTCTGCTGTCTACACCTGCACTTGTACTTGTCTATTTTTTGGGAACCCTTTTTCTTAGCAATCATAAAGTTTGATTTTTTCACGAGTTTATAAGATGTTTCAAATTAATTACCTCTTCAATCTACCCACTTTCCCTTCTTCATAGGTTTAAAATACTAGGGTATTTGTGCTTTCATTAATTTCTTATTTGGTTTAGCAAAGAAGAAGAAGAAAAAAGAGAGAAATAGAATTAAAAGAATTTTTATCATTGAAGAAAAAATTAATGGAAACGAATGAAATTAGAGTTTTTGATTAGATGAAAATAGAATAAAAATATTTTTTAAAGATAATTTAAATAATTTTTTTAAGTTATTCACTTTTAAAAAAATGATGTTATTATTTATTAATTTTGGTTTGGATAATTTATTCATATTATTATTTTCATTAAAGTGTATTATTATTAGCATTTTAAAAAAACATCTATTTATTAGAGCTAACTGGATAGAAAAATAAAACACAGAGAGAGATTTAGAAAGTTTAATCAAATTGTAGTTTAAAACTCTCTTCCGTCTTTCTATTTTATTCGATCATATTAATATCTTTCACTCTTTTCTTCATTCTTTCATTTGTTTAATCCCTTTCTAACATATCAAACGAAAAGAGAATATGTTGGGTTATATATGATATCATTTAATATATATTAAAAAGCCATAAATGTCATTAATATCACTATTGTTATTGTTATTTTCTGTTTAATTAAATAACTAGAGATTTTTTTATATGTTTTAAATTTAAATCTATATATATATATATATATATATATATATATATATATATTGTACTTAACATTTTTCTGCTGTCTTATTTCTTTCAGATTTTCTCTTGCATTATGAAAAAAGGAATTTCAGTTTGATAGGAGAAATGTACTTCATTTTCTTTTACCTCTTTCGTGAATCTCTTTTTACCTCTTTGAATTGCATTGCAAATGCATACACGTGGGGGCTAGTGGACCAAAAATAAATTCTGGAGATTTGAAATTCCCAAAAAGATTGCGTTTTTTGTTTTAAATTATTAAATTTCATGAATTTATTCTCAATCATAAATTTTAGACTAAGTTTTTCATATTACACACAAATATATACCTAATATTTCAATATTCACAACAATTACTTTTATAAAAATACGCGATATATAGTTAGGGTCAACAGCTTTAAAAATTGTAATTTTAGAATTAGATTATAATTATCTATATTTAGATTATAATTATCTAGATTTAAAATATGAAACAAGTCGTATTATTAGAGATTATAAGCAATAAAACATGTTTTATAAAATAAAATGAAATTGAAAATGTTGTACTATTGGAACCTTAGAGGAGATTTATCGAAGCGATAATATTAATGAAATATGAGTTGAATTTAAATAACTGATTATCTATTTTTAATGACGTTGACTTTTTTATATATTTTTCTTATTCTTACTGAAACTTAGATTATGATTATATATATATATATATATATATATATATATATATATATATATATATATATATAACTTTGATTATGATTAATGAAGGAATATTTAAGTTGCATAATGGATTAACATTTCCTATAATGTAATAACATTCCAAAATAAAAATGATTGATGGAATCGGAAGGTACAGAGGTAGCAAACATTGACATTGATGTGAGGAACAAATGCATGTGCATGCAGGTGGAAGTGAAGAGGGATAAAAAGGCAACAACAACATGGGACACAACAAAGGAAAGAGTGAATGTGAAGAGAGATGAAGAAGAGAAAGTTTGCATGCAAGGTGGAGGGTGCTTTTCATGGATAAGGAAGAAAAGTGAGAGAGAGAAAGAGAGGCAAAAAAAGGATACCATGTTTTTCACTCACTTCAAAGTTTGCTAGAGTAAGAGTGGAAAAATGGTAAAAAATGGCTATTGCTCTACAACCATGGAGTGAGAGAGAGAGAGACTCATGCATGCATGTTGTTGTTCTCTTTGGAAACTCTCTCTCTCTCTCTCTTTCATTTACTCTTTTCAGAAATTTTGCAGAGCTTGTTAAATATGGCTAGAAATGGAAATGTTTAGAACAATGGCATTGGTGTGTGAGTGTGTGAGAGAGAGAGTGGTACATTTTTCATGTTATTACGTGAAAGTTTGAATGCTAGGGCTTCACGATGCACCTTTTTTTTGTTTTTGTTTTTCTTACAAGACTTTAATAAAGTTTTAGATTTAATTGTAGTGTATTTGGTTTCTATATTATATAAAATTCATAATTTTGCTTTTTCACAATTTTAGTCTCTTAATCTTCAGTTATACGTTATTTTAGTTCCTTAGTTGTTTTCGTAAATTTGGTGTCTTAATTTTAATTATTCATAATATATAGTTAAAATTTAAGGAACTAAAATTATATGATCAAAATTTTAATTAGGTCAAAGTTTTATAAAAATCGTATATTTATTAAAGATTGACATTACTTAAAATGATTGGTTTAGGAAAGAAAAAAATTTAGATGAGATGATATATGATAGAATAAGTTTAAGTGTCTTTTTTAAAAAAATTTAAGTTAAATATTGCTTTATTTTTATTTATCTTTAAACTTTAATTTTTTCTAAATAAAAAGTTTTAATCACTTTTTAGTCTCATTATTTATTTATTTAATTTAATTTATTTCAGTTATTAATAAAATTTTCATTCAAATTTCTCATTTTTATTTCAAATAATACATGACCACTTTTAATCGAATTTAGGGTAAAATTATTATCAAACTAATATTAATGGTTTTATTTGATCTATAATAAAATTTATAATCAAAATTAATGAAGTCAATTTTATTACACTTACAAAATTAATCTTATTAAATTTTAATAACATTTTTTTAAAAAGGACTAAATAATATTCATATGCTTTATAATTTAAAAAGAAATACCACATTTTATAAATATTACTATCTCTAATTTTATTTATTTATTTATTTAAAGTGTCGTTTAAGACTTTTAAAATAAATAAGAAATACAATATTTTTTCTAATTTCTTACCCAATGCAATAATAATTTCCTTTTTGAAAATTATCCTTTTTCATATATTTTGTAAAATGAACGTTTTTAATTTTCACATGTAAATTAATTAAAATTTAGGTGAAAGATAAAAATTTCATGAAAAAGAATAATTAATATTAAAAATATTTTTGATGTTTTTAAATAATTAAAATAAAAAATAAATAACTAATTTGTTTCCACCTAATTCTTAATTTTATGAAAAAAATATATATTTTAAAATTCTAAAATTTCAATAAAACAATGAAAAAATATTTAAAAGATTTATTTAAATATTAAAACATATATTTATCGTTAAATAAATCTTAAAAATAATTAGTTATTTAACTAACGAATTTAAATTTGATGTATACATCGTATCACTAAATTAATTTTATAAATAATATATTTTAAAAAATTATTTATTTATTTTAATTTATTTAAATATTAAAACATATATTTATCATTAAACAAATCCTAAAAATAATTAGTTATTTAACTAACGAATTTAAATTTGATGTATACATCGTATCACTAAATTAATTTTATAAATATATATTTCAAAAAATTATTTAAATAATTTTTTTAATTTTATTTATCAATTAATTTTGTTTATTATTTACATGTAAATTTTTATCCTAATTTTTGTTCTTTTTTTCTAATTAAAATTACTATACTAAAATTAATATATTAACGTAATTTTTTAAAAATAACATTAAAATAAAAAAAGGTCAATTAATTATTTAAATTACAATGATAACAATAATTTTATTTACAATGACATAAATAATTAATTTAAAAATATTTTATTAAAATAAATTAATTATTCATCTAATAAAAATATATTAAATATTTATAAGTTAAATATATTTTTTATTTAATAACTTAATCGAGTTATAATTAAGTTGAATTATGATAATTATTTAGATAATTTTAAAAAAGTATTTATTAAAAAATTATTTTCAAATAAATATTTAATTTTGTTTAATTATTTTAATATAATAATAGTATTTATAATATCTAAAATTTATCATATAATATTTTTTTAAATATTAGATATTAAATTATAATATTTTTAGATATTGTAAATATTTTTAGATATTTTAAATATGTTTAGATATTTTAAATATTTTTTTTAAATAATAAAAGATCAAATATATCATATTTCAATTTAGTATATTTTTTAATTAAAAAATATGATGGTGTGAAAAGAAAAGAAAAAACAAAACAACACTAAGTAATTAACAAACTGAATGTTCTATTATTAAATTTTGTGTATAAATAATAAACATGATGAATAAATTTATAAATATTTTTTAAAATATATTATTTATAAAATTGATTATGGTACATTTTTCGAAATATCCTAAATATATTTTCATCTTGATTAAGGATAAAAAAAATGAACACAATTTTGTTATCAATATTTAATTTCATGTGAAAAGTATAAAGAGATGTTCGAAAATATTAAAAAGTAATATAAAATTATTTTTTAATAAATAAAAGTTTAAATATTAAAAAATAAAAATAAGAGATGGAGAAAATAAAAACCTATTATTACAAAAATATATTTAATCTTTCGTTTGATAAATTTAAAAATAAAAAATAAAAAAATAAGTTTATTTTATTTTTATTTTGATAAGTCTACAAATAAAAATACTAATAATATTTTTTAAAGGGCCCAATCCATTTAAGAGGTACACACTATATCTTACTTTTTAACCTAAACAATTATTATAGAAAGATCGAGGGAAGCGCAGAAGGGAGGAGGGAGACACAACAGGCACACCTAGGTAACCTTTTCTTTGTTTTATTTTTTCTCACTTCACTCTCTTAATAATTATGCTGCTTTTGAGTTCTCGTTAGGCAAAACGTTTCTGTTGTAATCGCTTGTAACCCGCGCCGGCGATGCTTCAAACACCGCTGTAAAATTTTCTCTGATCTCCTCAATCTCTTTTCCATAAACCTCTTCAACAGCTCCATCAACCAAACGCTCCCTCTCTACATCTCCCTTTGCCGCAATCTCCAGCCTCCCTGCCGCCATCAGCACCGAGCGCCTCGACCTACTAGACGACGACCGCCGCAGCCGCAGTGGAGGCAGCAGGAGACGCGGGAGTTCATAGCGATACGCGCGGAACCATCCACAATCCATCAAATGCTGTCACTAATGGTACTGGTAGTATTCAGGAAATGCAGTTAAGGAATTTTCCATTCGTAAACATCACGCCAAAATATCGCTCCCACGTTATAAATAGCTGTGACGTAGCCATTAAATAAAATTTTGATAAAGTATAGAATAAAGATATTCAAATAAGAATTAGTCCCAATGAAAAACAGACAAAATTGGATTCGTAACAACTAAACAATCTTTTAATTTTTATTTCTCTTCTTCTTCACTATCTCAAATCCATCATTTCATCTAAATCCAACCACATCCTTATGCTTAAGGATGAAAATGCTGATGGGAGATTACTGTGATTGGCGAGCACACGGGAAGGATTTAGATTGGTATTATTTATTACATTAAGTTAATTTAAACTTTTTATTTTAAATTTTATAATTTATTTAATGATAAGTAGAACTCTTTATTATAGAAAGAGATATAACTATAAATTAAAAAAAATACTACATAATGATCTAAAAATATTTTTTTATACATTTTAAAAATATAAAAACTAATTAAAATTATAACTTTTGAGTATTATCTTATTATATATATCGGATGTAATGTTTTAGTTTGATGTTGTGCTGTGATATAAATTTGTATTGAAAAATAGTTTAATATTAATAATTAATTTTGATGATAATCAATTCTACTTACTCAAGGTTCTGTTATATGCTTTGTTTTTTTATTTGTTTTTAACTATTCGTTACTTATTTAAAAATAAATATCAGGATAAATCTTAAATTTATTTTATACTAATATTTTATTTATCTATAAATTTTAAAAATTATTAGATAATATGCTAAATTTTGAATTTGTTTGATATTTAATTAATTAATTTGTTTATTAATGGAAATTATTAAATATTATATTAAATCTTAAATTTGATATTTAAAATATTTTTTATAGTAATTTTAAAAATGACTAAATATTATGTTAAGTTTGGAACTTATTTGATATTTAAAAGTTTTATTTTATATAATAATTCAAAAAATTATAAATATCATACTAAGTCTCAAATTTTTGAAATTTAAAATTTTTATTTTATATAAATTTTTTTAAAAATTATTAGATATTATGTAAAATCTTGGATATGCTTGATATTTAAAATTTTTATTTTATGTAAAAGTTTTGAAAATTACTAAATATTATGTTAAGTCTTGGACCGTTTGATATTTAAAATTTTTATTTATATACTTTTAGTAGTTATTATGTTAAATCCTAAAATTATTTCGCTAGTTAAAATTTTTATGTACAGTCATTTATCTTAAGTTTAAGATTTGTTTGTTGATTACAATTTTTGATCACTTTGAAAATTATTACTATCATTAGTCTTATATTCACGTGATAACTAATTTTAATACTAAAATTACATAAAAATTAAAACAATTTAAAAACATTTTAAAATATTTAGTTTTGTAAAATTTGCACGAAAGAATTATGAAATTCTATATACAAAAATAAAGCCATTCTTTATCAGATCCGAAATTTTATAAATATTTTTTTCTTTCTTTTAAAATAAAAAATATTAAATATTAAATATTTAATTTATTTCTTTTAAAACAAAAAATATTAAAAAATTTGTATATTTAACTAAAGAGAAAGGTAATGAGATGTACATTGAATCCAAATTTAGTTTCAATAATCTTATATTTTTAAAAGGTTTTTCATAATTTATTTTTAATCACAACACAATAAACCTTATCCATACTTACCACAGAAAGTGATATTATATATATCTCTTTCACTTCAATCAAATCGTACTTAAGTTGTCTTCAATTTGATTTTGCCTCGATTAAAGGTTCTCCCAATTCGCCTTTCTCTCTCACACACGACACTTGCTTTTGTGTGCTTGCTTTTGTTTTATTTATAGTTTATTTGGATTAAGTGATGAACATGATCAAAGTTTATATCTTCATAATGTGGGTACTCAAAGGTACAGGTTTTAAGAATTTTTTTTAACGAACATTACTGATTTTGATTCTTTACTTTGGTAATTGGATGTGCCAGTTCTGCAATTTTATTGCTTAGGTTGTGTGCAACTGTAAAACAGGTTAATATGAGGTTTCTGGTTGTTAGTGGAAGTTTCAGAGTTATTGTTGTTGCTATTTTGTGAACAAATTTGAAAGGCGATTTTATAGTTTTTGCACAAGAAAACTAATTTGTGATTTCAATTTTTATTATGAGTACGAATGACTCTTATTTTTTAAGGTTGTTCTTGAAAATATGCTATGTTGTGTTTCAGATTGACTGACAGAGATGGAGATTGGATCATATTCTGATCAGAGCAAATCAACTTTTTGTCTGGTGGATGAGGATCACACATTTGCAAATTCAGTCAGATTCGCCTTAAATCAAGAGTTAGTAGTGTGACTATTCTTATGTGATTATCTATGATTTTGTTTATATTACGTTCTTCTATCTGCTATTGTCCTGCAGTGTATGCATACATGTAATATCAAGATTGTGTTCTTTTATTGGGTATTATTCCCTGCGTTCCTAAACCATTCTGTTGAACACCTTATATCATTGAACCAAACGTTTTTTTAGAGAGAAGGAAGTACAAAGACGAGGAGATATATTCCGAAAATAAAAAATTATGATTACAAATGAAACATTATTAGGTGTGCATGCCACATATATCGAGTATGAACTCACATGAAGAAGCCATGTGCAGAGCCTGTAGTAGATCCAGGTACCTTTACAAATTTAGGAGCCAAAGAATACATCCATAAACATTCAAATGCATTTCACTGCATAACATGCGTGCAAAACCATAAACTGTGCATTGCACTAAATTTAGGGCAACATTGTGATGAGCAGTCAAAAGTTGCTCCTATGTAAGACATAATGCTCCAAAATCATTATGATTATGTGTGAAATGATCATGAAAAGAACTTAATGCTTGTGATGAAACAATAGGTTGACAGATCTATACTCTCTTCCTGGCATCCTTTGGAAAGGAAGAGGAGCTGAGATATCGATGCATATAATCCTTATTGATTTTGTTTTCATACTATCTTCTATTTGGGACATAATTGATTAACCATTTGCATGCTCGTAAGTTACGTTTGAGTCTTTTTTTGGAATGAACTTTTGATGTCAAAACGAAGAAGATTGTGGAATGAGCCATTTTCTTGTTTGATATCAATTTAGTAGTGATAAGGACGTTATTTCGAGTAATTTAGGGGTGTTTACTTGTGCTTTTATTTCCTGCTTTCAATTTTAATTGCAAAAATGTGACATTGTTTTCAAAGATTCTCCAAAAAACACTGAAAACTTGTTTCCGTCTCTAAGATCTTTAAAAACAAGAAACAAATTAAAAACAAGGTTCTTTTTTGGACTAATGTCAATGTTTTATTTAGCTTTTACATGTTTCTCTTTGTGCCTCACTTCTTTCTTATCACGTGGGTTTAATTCAATATATCTTGATTCGTTGAAGTTGTTAATATTGTTCTGCAGTCCAAGGGTGACATTTTGTGGGTATAGCATTCCTCATCCATCTGTTACTCAGGTTAATATCAGAGTCCAGACAACAGGTAATACGTGAAGTGTCTTGAGTTTCTTGTCCATTGTTTTAACATAGTGAACCATATGTTAATGTTGTTAACAAATCTCTGCCACAACCATGTGCTTCAAATCCATCTTTGTTTTGATACTGTCTTAAGTGGAGTACTAGCCTGGTTGATGTCTTATGATCAAAAGATCACGGGTTATCTTAGAAACAATCTCCGCTTATACTAGAGTGCCATTTTTTACAATCACTAGTGCCTTTGCATATAACCAGGAATTTTATAGTCTATTTTGCAAATTAATATATCCCAACTGGACCCATATTTTTGCTACTTTTGTTAGATAACTTACAATGTTTAGGATTTCTTGATACTAAAATTCTTGAAGCAAATTAACTTTAATCACTTTTTTCAATAAAACTACATGTACAAAAGTAACACAACGCATATTGCAATCCCATCTAGGATAACACTTCAATATGTGACGATCATCTACAACACATCATACAACCATTAAAAATAATAAAGTACAAGAAAAAGTGAGGGTTTAACAAACCTTTAACTAAGCAATTGGAACCTAGGTTTAACAAAGTTAGGAAGCTCTCCACCGATAATCTCCATGTACACTAACCCCATAATTAGCAGTCTGTCTGCACATTCATTTTCTTTCTTAAGTATACGTGGAATGATTACGTTCTTGCTTTTTTGACTATCTATTCCTCAACCTCCACGGTACAATACTAACAATTTTAAAAGCTTGATAGCAAGAGAAGAGTCACATTCTATCTATATGATATTACATCCTTTTCTGGCAGCTATCTCCAAAGCCCTGATCACTCCCGTTGCCTCTGCATAGAATGCTTCCTTTATGCGAGTATTGAACCTGAGCTAGTTAATTTGAGGAGGAAGCCTCTTAAGTTGTACTATTCTTTCAGGTTTCCTAGGATGCATGTAAACCTACCTTTCAAGAAACCCCTCTGGTTGTATGCAACAATGCTGCCACATTTGCCAATCTATCACCAGTAATTTGGAAACAATATTGAACTTGAAATTTGCCAATGTAATTGGTCTAAATTGATAATTTATGTTTGCACCTTTCTCCTTTGGTATTTTGACCACAAAATAATCCAGCCTTAATATTAGAAACTAACCATTGTTTTGTAGGCGTCAAGGCCAATAATATTCCAAAATACTTGACAAAACCCGCCTCCAAACCCATCTGTACCTCGAGCAGAATAAGGATTTGAAAAAAAAAACAATATTCTTTACTTTATTAAAATCAGGTATCTCAAACTTTCATTTTCCCGATTGGAACCATTTTAGCAATAGATTGTTGAATTAAATCATTCTTTTGACAACTCTTTTTAGAAGCAAAAAGATATCAATAAATTTAAACAATACGATTCTTCACCTGCTGCCTATCAGTTAGAATATTATCTCCCTTTTTCATATAAAAGCTATTTCCTTTCTTAAGATTTAACTATTCTCTGAAAATAGCTTGTGTTTTGTTCTCCTTTCAGACTCCAATTTATTCTTTCCGTTTCACGCCAAAACTCTTGCTGAGTTTTCAAAGCTTTCTCCAAATCTAACAAAGCCTCTTTCTCTTGATCAATCAATTCTTCATCCGCCCCATCCTCATCAATGCTCTCTAAATTTCTTTGATTTTCTCTAATCCAAGTCGAGCTCTTTCACATTTCCAAAAGACGATTTGTTCCATTTAATCACAAATAAACTGATCATTATTCTGACGTATCCTTTCTTTAACAGTCTCTTTCCCTGAATTCCAAGTGAATATTGAATTTTTCCGCCGGTTTTAACCGTCTTTTTCTCTTTCATGAGTAGATTAATCCTGTTATCTTTAATTGCTAATCTTCAGCACTTCCTGGATCATGTCCTCTGGTTTGACAATGATCACAAAATGCAGACAATTTTCCATACCGCAGCTCAACAAAAAATTACATATCCTTCCCTTTACACTACAATTTGATCAAGAAGTTGCTCATTTAAGTCAATTCTTACCAAGGTTCTAGCAAAGTAGCTAAAAGATTTCGGAGAGTAGCTTCATTTTATAAAATTGGTACCCTATTCTTCCACCTAGTGCATACAAAACTCTTGGCCTCCAAAACTCTAGATGAAAATCTATTATTTTTACCCATCCTTGTGCATGAGTTATCCTTTTTGGTCTCGGTGTTAAAATTCTGGGAGCATAGGAATAACCTCAAGTAACCTTGCTTGAGATTCCAACCAAGACCCCACTACCAAGATATTTCTTAATTCATCCGCTGATTCAAAAGAAAATTTGAAAAAACCTCTTCCAAGAAAAATGATAGACGATTTCTTGATTATATTCCAAAGACTCGCAGGCTTACTCTTTCATTCCTCAGTTGTTAAAACCTTCTCATATTTTGAAAGAATTACTTTGCCATGCATCTAGCCAAACTTGCTTGATAATCCTCCTCAGGAACTTTGATAACCGCAATACCTTTTTTACATGGTTTAGGAAGATGAGTTTCTTGCACCTAGCAATAACTATTGAGAACCTCAGCAAAACTTTCGTTAGAACCTCAACACAACACAACTTGAACATGGAAAAGAAAGCACTATGATCTTAGAATGTTTCTTGGAGCATTTGACTAAACAATATTTATCTGAATAGTAAATAATATGCAATGATCTATATTAATAGATATTTACTTCTATCCCTGGATCTGACGATACTAAAATATTTATCCTTACGTTATTTTCTTGAAATTAAGATTTTTTATGGACATTAAAGGGTTTGGGTAATGCATCTATAAATACTATAGGGAAATTGTACTGTCAGTGTTGGTTTTTTTACGAGGGGGACAATTTTATCCGGTATTCATGGGTGGGACACAAAAGCAAAATCATAAGATAATAGGTTTATATCTTTGTCATGATTATGTTTAGCTTCTTTCTTCGGGAAAGATAAACAAATTCTGAATCATGATTCTTAGGGATTGAATCATCTATATAATATACAAAAATATATATAATATATAAAAATATAATTTTAAATATCTTTTTTTTAATGAGATCTCAATAATATTTAGTTATTTAACTTTCTCGTTTTATTCAATTTCAAATTCTACTCACTTGAACTTTAACATTCTCAATATGAGTCTTTACACAATGAAATACTCTTTTTAAACTCATTTACCCATTTTATATTTGACTAAACCGATTATTAAACAAATCATCGACTTAATTGAATTTTTTTTAAGAAGACAACATTATTTCAGTGTTCACTTATTGGATGGGACATAAGATAATATACCAATATATGAAAATATAATTCAATTTTCAATTCAAAATCTTAAAATAATAAATTTATGAAGTTACTTTTTCGTTTGTTCTATGAGACTCTAGCTCATCATTCAATTCCATAAGTGTGAAAGTTGGAACATTCAAAAGTACCTATCTGAACCAGATATTTGCATAAAAATTATTTCTAATATGCAATATAATCTGACCATGTAGTTTTCTCTTCAATATGCTTGTGCAGGGGATCCAGCAAAAGAGGTGATGAAAGATGGATGTCAAGATCTAATGCGTATGTGCCAGCATATTAGGAGCTCTTTTACTGATGCTTTCATTGATTTTAAAAGGACCAAAACCGATACTAAACAGGATATGGATACCAAATAAAGTCTTCTCCAGACTTCTATTTTTAGTTTTCACACTAATTTGGCTTTTTATTGTTAGTCTCAATAGTATAGCATAGCATTGGTAAATATTAGGTTAGGAAATAGTTGCTTATCAAACAAAATACTTATTGTATACCAATGTCATTCTATGCTTATTCTTTTAACTAATAAAAGGAAAATATTTAATACAATAATTTATTTCCTGGATGACATATTTTCTAATTTTATGCTTCTTTCTTAGCAGGGAAAATACAAATGAAGTGTTTGACTCTTAGTTGACTGCACATTCTCCCACTTAATTTATATACACTTACATTCTCAAATCTAGTTTACCTAAATACTTTCACTTTTTAATTGTAAATAATCACAACATTGTATTTCCTATTTTCAAATATTTGATATAAAAAATATATATAAATTTAGTATTTTTGTATAGATATTTGAAAACAGGAAACGAATAAAAACTAAAATGATTTTTTTTTAATTAAAACGAAAACGAAAAAAATATTGGTAACTAACGAGGATTTCTTTGGACAAACATATGCAAAATAGTTTCTCCAAGATAAAAATAAGAAAAAAAAAGTTCAATAGAATTTTCGGTTTTCATTATTTTTTCAACTTTTTTCTATTTCACCCCTTTATTATTTTTATTATTAATTTAACTTCTTTTTTAAAATGAGTTAATGTTGTTTCTGTCACCAACTTTGTAAAATATTGATGTCTGGTGTAATATTAACATGACATCTTTGTTAATAATAATATATATATATATATATATATATATATATATATATATATATATATATTAACAAATATAAAATAAAATTTTGGGAATTGAGAGCTCATTTTCGCAAAAGAATAAAGAGGAAAACCTTTGTTGTATATCCCACTTCATTAGGTTGAACCAAGTGACTGAGTAATTTGGATTCGATACTTTATTATCAAATTATACGGTTATTACTTCCTGCAACCGTGACCATTGTCCTTATGGCAAAATAGCTTCAGATTCACTTTATTATCAAATGCATTATTGTTATTTTAAATAAATATAGGAATACAAAGGAAGGTAGGAAGGTGCAGGAAGAATGACCCAGAACAAAGTTAACTGTAGGATCAAAAGATGGAGCCTAAGAAAGTGCAGGTGTAATGACATTTTACATTATCTTTACAATTTGACATGCCATGTTTCAAACAACTTTCAACCTTCTATAATTTCTTTATATCAAAACGTAAATAGCATAAATAATGTGATATGCACAGGCTAGGCACTTTTAAATTGCTGTTTCTTTTTTTCTTTTAATATATGTCAAAATTTACAGTTGATACAATAATAACTCCGTATTTTTTAACATAATATTTTTACTAAATCATGCCACATGGAAGAGGATGATACGGTCCAGAACTTCATGAAGGGGAAGCATTGGGGTCTATATTGGAGATAAGCCTAACCTCAAATAAGTCTTGTTCGCCCTTACCTGCACCCAATTAATGTCAGAATGCATTCACTACTTTCTACATATTCTCTCTCACTTATTTGCACTTATTAAACTGTTCACTTACTTTCTATAGTTATCCTCATTTTTAGCTTTCGTCTTTATACAAGAAAATTGCACGTTTTGGTCCCTACACATGAATAGAAGTTTTGGTTCCTATTGTTACCACCATCAAATGCTGCTGCTACCAGCCCACTTACAAAATGTTCTGATAGGTATAAAACTAGTAGAAAACATGGAAACTTTCTGCAGCAAGTTTCTTAGTCAGAAAAATTTATAGCAGTTTTACACTACAAGGATCAAAACCTAACTTCTATGCATATGTAGGGACTAAAACTTAAAACGGAACCACTACCGTAGGGACCAAATGAATATAAGCACACAAGAAGTTTAGTAATTTTAAATATTAGCACACTATAGTCTCAATAAGAGACTTATTATAAGTATCAGCAATTTAGCACACAAGCTGAGTTTCAAATTTCAGACTCACCAATTTCAGCTGTAATTCCTGGCCCAAAGAATGAAGCAAATTTGGCCTAAACACAATTGAAGATTGAGAAATAGTTAGCACCGAAATCTTTTGATATTAAAAACCCAGAGGATTTAAGAATTGCAGTGAATAAGAATTAGATTAATTAAATTCCAAAGCAGCAGTAGCCTAGGGATAACTTGTTATGAAGAGTGCATTTTATCTCTTGGGCATAGGCATAACCCCCAAGGAGTTGATTTTTTTTTTTTTTTAATCAAATGGGTCCTCTCTTCACCATCGCATGCAAATGGGCTACAGGGTTCATAATTATTCTTCTAACAATAGGATGTTTACCTAACTAACATTATATGTCTTTCCTAATTCTTCTGGTTTACCCCAACATTACCAACTTGTCCGGATGTTACTGAGCAAGTTTTGGATATCTCAGGTTGGGGTCGGATTATCTTATCCACTACACAAAGAAAACTTTTGACAAGTTGACTTATTTGAACTTAGCCCGATGATAGATGGAACAGACAGGATCAACTTAATTTGTTGACATTATATTTCAAAATTAATATTATGTACAGCTTCGTTGAGTTAAAAGAAATATAAAACAAAAAGTTAATGTATATTATATAGTATGTATTAATATTACGAAACAAAGAATATCAATATATGCAGAATGTTGTCCATTAAATAATAAGTCTCCTATTTAGTATTTATTAAAAACAAACTTTAAGAGAATATAGGACACCACTCTGAGTAGATAAGCTGAAATATAACCCAAACCTGCTCCCAAAATATTACAAGTATCTAGGGGTGTCAATATGGGTTCTAACCCGTGAGCCAACCCGGCTCACCACGGGTTCGAGCCGGGTTGGGTTGGATTTTTTTATTTCTACCAATTATGGGCTAAAAATGAACCCGGCTCACTTAACCCACGGGTTAAACGGATTCGAGCCGGGTTATGGTGGGTAACCCACCATTAATTTTAAATTTTAAAAATAATTATAATATATATTAACCTTAATTAATAATTATATTTTAAATTTTAAAAACAATTATAATACTTCGATAACCCTAAATGTTATCCTGCCTCATCTCTATCCTATATTGTCGCTTCGCCACAACAAGTCAAACCCTATCGACAACACTACGTTTGTCGCTGCACTATCTTATCATATGTTCATCTTCATCGTATCACTACATCACCGTACCCACTCGTAGCATCTATACATTATTTGTTGTTTATTATTGATTTATACGTATATCTCTTTAATATATGAATTTTTGACTTCTTTCTTTCAAATTAATTTACGAGTATGGAATCGAAACAATGCATCAAAGTGTCAATGTGAATTGTGTTGGTGATGATTTTATTGTTAATGAAAAACCCAATGAGCCAATTTCAGTTAATAATGAAGATACCGATGTTGAGAAAAAAAGGAAAAAAACAAAAGTTTCTACATCCGAAGTTTGGAAATATATATATATATATATATATATATATATATATATATTATATTTATATTATTTAAAAATAATATGGGTTAGTGAGCCAACCCACCTAACCCACCAACCCGTGGTGGGTTGAGCCGGGTTGTAAAATTTCTGGCTCACCAAAAAGTGAGCCGGGTTGAGCTCATCTATTTTCAGCTCAACCCGTGGTGAGCCAACCCGTGTGAGCCGGGTTGGCTCACTTTGACACCCCTACAAGTATCATTCTAAAACCCAAATATGTCAAATTAAGTTTGTGAAGTGAGGACTTAGGTTTTGGCATTTCTGTTCTTTGATTCTTCTATTCTGATTTTCTCTTATCTGAATTCCTTTAAACTCCCCTCCACTCCCTTTCAAATACATTACAAGTAAAAGACAGCACAAGTTATCTAATTTCTAGCACTTGTGTACTCCAAGATCCAAAGAGTCCCATCATCTTCACGATAATGCGAGAAAATGAATACAAAATTTATATAATTAAAAAATATATGCTCCGGGAAGCAAAGCTGAATTACCTGTCTTTGTTCAAAATCTGACAACTGCAGAGCCTTGGCCTCAAAAACCAAAACCAAACAGTATTTACTATCTTGTGTGACCTAAAATATAACCACATTACAAATAGGATTAATAAGGGAATCTCAAGGGTCTAATCAACAAAAATGATCCTCTAACTAATTTGCTTGTTAGAATCTCAGATCAATACATAATGTTGCGTGAAGAATATTACCACAAGCTTGAGCAACTAAGATGGCTTATGGAATCCCTTATATATATATAGAAGGTTTTTGTACTAACGACAAAAGCTTGAGCAACCACAATGGCTTACGTAGGCCATTCTACTTAAAATAAAAGACAATATTGATGGGACTCAATTGGAACCAAGAATAACTGCTGGAGACTAGACCTTGATTATTGGCAGTACTGATTCACAGAAAGGCTTCAATAGAAATTTCTTCAAACAGTTAAAATAATAAATACGTTCTATAAAAGATGGAATGGTTGATGAAAAGATGCCACAGGCACCAAATTTGTAGAAATAAAAAGATTTCAACATGTCCTATTTTGTCTTATTGTCTATGGGTTTAAGTGAACTAATCAAATACGAGTAGCTTTTATACTCTGAACCAACAAAAGTACTGAGACAACACAAGAAATTTAGTTGAATCTCATGATGCTCAAAAGACAAAATGGGTGCTTGAGTTTAATCAAAATGAATCTTATAAAAGGGTAGTCAGAGTGTTGAGGTAGCAAGGTGGGTAGGGGAATAAAGATAGAGGTTAAAAGGCTTAAGATGCGACAAGACTCCATGACATACTAATGGAATGATAGAACAAATGAAGCCAAGGAAGACAAAACAACATGAAAATGAAACTTTAAATTGGATAAATAGTAATAGATTTAGAAAATTAGGAAACATACTGTATTTAAAGCAGTTCATAATATAGAGAGAGGGTAAACGATAGTGTATCTGTGAGAGAAGAGACATGAGCTACTACTATAAATTTACACGGTCTACAAATTTTTCTTTTGAAGTAAGATATATGCTACTTTTCCTGTATTTGCAAATGATGTAGCAAGTAATATGAATAAAAAGGTTCATAATGAGACTTAAATAATAGCACTAATTGGTGAATAATAAATGTTAAATTGACAAGCATACTTCTTCACGAATTAATTGTAGAACAGGAGCACTTCTCCTCGGTATTCCTCCTCCCTGAAACAAAAGGCAGATAAAATGATGTCTTGGAACTGAACAACATATTACACGTTGCAGAAGAAGAAAGATTAAATCCCACATGCTATATAAGGGCTTATTCGAGGCACAAATATGATAAATGTATCAAATACAGTATGTATTTATGTGATACAATTATTCCAAAATATATAAGAAAAGACTCAATCTAAATATTATAAAAATTCATAAAACATAATATATAATAGCATTCTGCAAATCCAAATTGAAAACATACTTCTTGGATATTACTAAAAGTAAAATTATATATATATATATATATATATATATGTATGTATGTATCTATATATTTTAAATAAAAGCTTGATATGCTAGCATCACTGTGAAACAAGACTTGCTACCAAGGTTGACACCTGCTGTTGAATTTTTGCTTCGAATTGAAGCACTTCAGACACTTTATCATTAATTAGTGATTTTATCACACCACGTGAGCACATGGATGCAATTCTAGAAGGGTTACTTAAATGTTTTCATCTTCAATTAACCTCGCTCAGGCTATTTATGATCAGAATTCTAATTCAATTAACTCAAATTACAATGACTTTCGTGGCTTTGGTTGAGAACAAGGTCGACAATGTAGTCGTGGTCACAATTGTGGAGATCATAACTCAGTTCAATGTCAAATTTGCATAAAAATTGGTCATAATACCTTTACATCTTATCATCAATTTAATTAGAATTATCAGCCCCAAACGCCTGTTACGATACAATCTTCTCCATGGTTCCAATCTACAGGACCAACCTGGAATCAATATATTTACCACAATGGACCCAACCTTCACAACATTAGAATCAGTTTTCTACACAATGTGCTTCATCACAACAATTTGGTTGACCACAACAACCACAAACTATGGTTGCTAACACAAATTTCTCCTTGTGTAAATTGGTTCCATGATTCAAGAGCTTCTTACCATGTGTAACAAACAGCTCTAAGAACATTCAACAAACCACTCCCTTTGAAGGTATAAATTAGATCTTCATAGGAAATGGTCAAGGTATCCCCAATCACTCTTCTAGCTATACATATTTTACCTCTCGTCATAATTCTAAAATTAGTCTTGTTCTTCGTAATCTTTTACATGTTCCTGTTATTTCAAAGAACCTTATCAGTGTTAGTAAATTTGACCATTGTAATGTTGTCTATTTTGAGTTTCATTCTGATTCTTGTTTTGTCAAAACAATGACTACATAAATTTCCAAAACTATAGTTTGTGTCTCCCACTCAAGACTCAATCTTTTCTTCTTCTGTTGTTTGTTATACAAATACAACTTCTGCTCTTTCTTTGTGTAATTGCATTGTGCAAATTATTGTTCTTACTTGGTATTGTAGGCTTCGTCATCCAGGCTCTCATGTAATGCATTTGATCTTACAAATCTGTAATATTTCATTTCCTAATAAAAATTCTATTCCTTTTTGTTTAGCTTGTTGCATGGGTAAAGCCCAGTGTTACTTACCTCTTCATTCCTCTACCATAATAGATAATTCACCTTTGGAATTGGTGTTCAGTGACCCTCTTTTAGTCCTTCAAAAAAAATATTTTTCTTACTAGATATCTTTTGTTGATACCCTTTCTTGATTTTTACATAGATTTACTTAAGAAAAAATAAGAGACTCTTTCCATGCTCAAATCAATGGCTGAATTGCAATTTTATTCATCCACTAAAGCTATTCAAATTGACTGGGGTGCCGAGTTTTGTCCTTTCACCAATTACCCTAATGAATCAGATATAATAAATTGTGTCTTTTGTCCTCACACACATCATCAAAATAGATGGATTGAACATAAGCATTGTCGTTGACTTAGGTCTCTCTCCTTAGTCAAGCATCTCTTCCCCATTCTTTTGGGAATCATGCTGTTTTTACTGCTCCATATTTCATAAATAGACTTCTATCCGTTGCCATTAACTTTGAAGTTCCTCACACTAAATTGTTTAAAGTGTCTCCTGATTACTCTCTTTTCAAAGTTTTTGGTTGTGCTTGTTTTCCATATCTTCCTCCCTATATCTCACAATAACTTGATTTTGAATCTAATTAGTGCTTGTTTCTTGGATATTCCACCTCTCGTAAAGATTACAAATGTCTCTCTCCCTCATGTAGAATTTATCAAAGATGTTAATTTTAATGAAACCAAATTTCCAAATCTTTAATTGCTCTGACCTCAGTCCAGTGTTAGTTTGCCCACCTCTTCTATTCCTATTGTGGCATAACCCTCACCATTTACCTCAGCGTTCCCATTTGTCACTGTTTCCAATTCCAATAACCTAACCCTGTACCTAATCTGTCTATTGCCTCCTCATCAAATGTCTCTTGCTCACCTAGATCCACAACTATTCAGCCCATGCAAAAACATTCTAAAGATGGTATTTTTAAGACTCGTGTCCATCCTACTCTTCTCACACTTGTAGAACCAAAGAGAACTAAAGTGTACTTGCAACATCCTAAATGAGCTGCTGAGATTTTGGCTCTTCAACGCAATAATACTTGGTCTCTTGCTTCTCTCCCTCCTCGAAGGATTGGTTGCAAATGGGTTTTTAGAGAGTAAAAGAAAAGTACAAGGCAACACTTGTTTTGTTGCCAAGGGCTTCAATCAGTAACCTAATTTTGATTTTAGTGAAACCCTCTCACGGTTGTAAAACCTCTCACCATTTGCATTATCCTTACACTAGCTTTGACCTACAAGTGGAACTTTGATTATTTTCAATTTTTTCTCTCAAACAACTTGGACCTCTTAATTCTTTTATGGAATTGAGGTTTGCTCTCTAAACAATAGTTTCGTACTTTTGATACAATCCAAAATACATCAAGGATCTTCTCTCCAGACAAATATGACTGACTGTAAACCTATCTCTACTCCTATGGTGTGAGGTTGCAAGCTATCAAAATCTGGTGCTGATATTCACTCGGGTTCATCGTTGTACAATCCATAGGTGCTCGTCAGTATGTTACAATTATCAGACCTAGAATAAGCTTCTCTATTAACAAAGTAGGTCAATCTATGGCCACTCCTCTTGAATCTCACTGGGTTGCTGTCAAGACGATTCTAAGGTTTCTCAGGGGTTCTCTTCACTGTGATCTACGTCTATCTCCAGCTATTCCTAATCTTTCTTTAGCCATTCATGCTTTCTGTGACGCAGATTTGGCAGCAGATCCAAATGATAGGAGATCTACTTCTGATACTGCAATCTGTTTGGGTCCTAACCTAGTCTCATGGCAGTCTAGAAAACAAAACAGTTGTAGCACTCCAGTATTGAATCTGAATACAGAAGCCTTGACACTGCTACTACATAAATTTTGTGGATTTTCAAACTCTACCTAAAGACTTGGTTGTTCCTATCACACTCCCTTAATCCTTTTTGATAACGTCAGTGTTGTACATCTACCTCACAATCCTATTCTTCATACACACAAACTAAACGTATGGAACTTGATCTATTTTTTGTTCAAGAAAAGATCCTGGCTAAGCAAATTGTTGTTCATCATATTCGAGGTATTGATTAGTGGGCTAATCTTCTCACCAAGCCTTTGTCTCCTACTCGGCTCTAGTTTCTCCTAATCAAATTCAATATAGGTGAACTTCCTATGGTTTCTTACCCACCTTGAGTTTGAAGGAGGATGTGAATGAATAACTTCTTTTTCCGTTGGAGTTGTCAATCAGTTTATGCAAAATCCGCTCTGATATCATATTAAAATTCCAACATAAAATCAATTGACAATATATGGAATAACCTAACATGTATTTAAATCATACCAAACAACATAAGGTAGGCGATGTGAAACTTTCAACATGCTCCCTCCAACGAAAACTGTCGGACCAGGCAAAGGGTACTTTTGACCCAACAAAAGGCAACTTTTGGCCTAAGACAACAATCGAAAAGATGGTAGGCTTTGGCTCTGATATCAAGTTAAGAGAGTTAAAAGAAGATTTATAAGTCAGTGGGATGGTTAACTCCACTCTATGATCTCATATATATATATATATATATATATATATATATATATATATATATATATATATATATATATATATATATATATATATATATATATATATATAGGATTACAGCATTTAAAACAATAACCACCAACCACTAACCACTAACCACTACCTAATAATAATTCTAACAGTTATAACTATCCTTTTCTGTTTTCTGTTTGACAGTAACAACTGTCATTGAGTGTAGTTAGTTAGTTGCTATACCTGATTTCACCAGTTAGATGCACCTTTGTAATCTATATATAGTCGTTGAGAACAGATGCTCATTACTTGTAAAAAATTGGCTATTCAATACAATGTTTTCTTTTCTCTTAATTATGTGGGACTTGAATTTTTCCCAATAAGGCTTGGAAGTGGGTTCTCAATTCAAACGCACAAGTAGAGAACAGGAAAAATGTAACTTTAATGTTTCATTTAATTCTCAAAATAAGAAAATGTTGAAATAGATAATATACAGAAAAAAAAAATGTACCAAATATAATTCATTAATTCTGATAACATACTTGGCCATACTGAAATATCCGTTTCAATGCCTCATCCAAATGTTGCTCATCTCCATAGCGATACCTGGTGACATCACTCTTCACCTGTGAAAGCACAAGATGGTCACTTAATAAGTTTCTATTCAAAACCAACTAGGTTAGGCAGACTAGTATTTACTAGATACGAGTCCTTAGAGGAAAGATTGAATCTAATAAGAAAATAAAAATATTGAAAATGGATTAATTTTGAATTCTTAAAAGTGACTATTTTCTTAAATAAACTAATTTTAGTAGTAGACATACTAAAGCTACAAGTCATTGGCAATTTTTACATGATCCATGAACATTTCTCAAAATGTATTCTGTCCTACAGCGTTTGGATGGTCAACCCAAGTCCAGAATAAAATCAACCTAATTGGATCAATTAGTAAATGACTTAATCTGGTTAAAAATCTTGCAACATCAAATTAATCCACACTTTATTTATGCCAGCTTAATGGCCATAAGATGACTTGACTTGTGCATGCCAACCAAATAAATTGTAGAGATTATGAATTTTACATTGAAAATGGCTATTCCACCTACGCAACTACAAAAAGAAAAAATACCATAATTGATAATTTTAACTGTTCATATAAATGAACCTGACAAGACATGGTGTGCTTCCTTTCATTAACTAATCTTAATTGCTATTAGATAAGTGGTTTAAAAGAAAAGTGCTAGGCATCATGGATTTGATACCTAGTCGGGCTGTAAGTATGAATCTACAATTTATCACCTGTTTAAGAATTGTAGTTGCACATTTTTCCCGCAAGCTTTGAGCATCTGAATATGTGAGGCATGGGACTGGCTTGAGTTCTGCATACTGCAATAGAGATGGCTAATGATGAAAAATGAAGAATATGAAGAGTGTATGACTCGCAGGAGCATCCACTGACACGCAAATATGCAAATAGAACTATGAAGCAGTGGCATAAAAGTTAGGAAGAGGAACTCCTAACATGAGGACATTCATCTTGTAAGTTTATTCACATTCGTAAAACTTTCTTCACCTTGAGTGCCATTCCAATAATTGCAAGAGGAAAGCCATATGTTAGCATCAAAGCTGACCATTCAGATCCAGGGACAAGATTAAAATATGCCCCAAAACCATAGCTGCAAATAACAAAATGACCAGCATAAGAAACAAATAACTTCATGTATTGTATGAAATCAATGAAGTGAGTGAAAAACTAAATAAAACTCACGACAAGAGTGAGAGTCCAACACCTAGACCAATCACACCAAAAGAAACCTGCAACAATTAAACAATATCCTGAGAATAAATAACCCTACCCAACAACCAGTAATAAAATTTTAAGCTGTGCTAGTAAGAATTATCACATAAAGCAGTGAATGAGCAACTTGAGGTGAGTGACATGATCCAGAACTTGAAACAATAAACAAGAGTTCCCTACAGACAAACCACCAAATTCACTGCCATATATAGTTTGTCATGAGACAGCTAGGAAAAGATCACAGTTTCAATTAGTGTAAATCCATTCACACCATAGTATACATCACCCATATTTCTTGTTTTACTTATCTAAGAAAAAACTACCGCTGAATGCTTCACAAAAGACTAATATGTAAAAGGTAAAGCACAAGATACTGAAATCCGCACTTATCTCGTGAACTATTCAGCACTAGTTGTATTTGTACCCTCAAGATAAAGTATATTTCACTTATTATGCATCTGGAAAGTGTCTAGCATTGTTAGACAAACAAGAGAAGATTTTTAGATAAAGTAGATAAAAACTTCTAATGTAACTAGAGCACCCCATAATCCTTGTCCACAATGGGAAAAAATATTTATACGATTTGGTTTGATGAAATCTTTTGTTTATTGCCATGGCTAAAAATATTTATGCTATTTGGCTTGATGAAATCTTTTGTTTATTGTCATTTCTTGTTTTTAACACCTATATACAACAATGTCACATGGTTTAGAGTTTCTTACTTACTTTTACGTACATATAAATCTTTAAAAATAGGAAAGGAAGTAAAAATAACACAACGTTTTTGCAATTACTTGTTGTAACAGGAAAAAAAAATCTCAATTTTGGCATTTCCCGGGTGTATTTGAATAGACAACTTAATTAAGTGATTATTAAATAAGTACTTATCATGTAAGTAAGCACTTACGCACAAAATATTTCTATAATGGAAGAGGAAATAAGGTTACATTGTTTAGTTACAAGTTTAAGTTATTTTGATAATTTATCCTAAAGAGGAGAAAATAGTTGATGCCGTTGCCTATATTTATAAGTTCTTTTAAACATTCCCAGAATGAGTAAGTTGTTTATACAATTAAGAAGAAATAAATAATAAGATGACTTTGCTTTAATGTAAATTGTAAATTATTTCCTTAAATTATCATCAACAACTGAAAATTGTTTGTAGACATATATATATATATATATATATATATATATATATATATATATATATATATATATATATATATATATATATGGTCCTTATTAAATAATAATTTGGTCAAAAATAGTATATATAAGGTTACTGTCGTTCCATGAACTAGTTTTGTGGAGTCGAGAAAAACTCAAACCCAATTTTAAGCTAGTATATAGTCTATCCTAATAATTACACCAAACTTATTGAGCCACATGTTATTAGGCTGTTGTTACCTGTACTTACAAACTTTACAATCAAGATGTTACATTCTTAACTTATTCGCGCGAGGAACAAAATGACCAACCTTAGAAACGGACAAGCCATCGTCGGAAACCACGGAAGGTTGAGCGGTGGAAGAATCAACAGCTCTGGGAATGAGATTCGGCTTGGATCCGAACCGCTTGGTATCGCCATTCGACGCAAATATGGATCTGAACTGAACCGGAATGGGTCGCGACAACCGAGTCGAGTTGTTGAGTCGGGGATGAATTGAATGCGGCACAACAAGGCAAAAAAACCGGTGGCCGGAGCAGACAGTGGCTCCACCTTGCATCGCAAACGCAGTTTTGGTTAAGTGCTTCGCTCTCTCTTCGTTTCTCAGCAACAAACACGAACAGACGCAAACAAACAAAAAAAAGTAGGGGGAAATGAAACGAAGGAGACGCTCCTCAACCGCCAAATTTGAGCTACGTGTCCTAGTTATCTTTCAGATTATATATATATATATATATATATATATATATATATATATATATATATATATATATATATATATATATATATATATTATGTAAAAAATATAAACACGTCTTTAACATATTTATTTATGTTAGTATATATAATATTAATAAATAAAATAAATAAATTTAAAGTGTGATTTGTATAGAATAATAATAATAATATATAAAAAATTATATATCCAATTAAAATATAATTAATATAATCATCATGGTTTAGGGGATTTTTTATTTTATATTAATAATAAATATTTATAATTTTTAATTTAATACTAATATTTTTATTAGAAGAAAAATAATCATTTAATAAAAACAAAAAAATATTTATAACAGTTTTTTAATTAATAAAAATTAGTAAATATGCATTTAATTACTTAACCACAACTATGTTACTTTCCAAGAAAAAGAATTTGTAACATTTTTTACTGTTTTAAGAATAAATTTACAATAATTTTTAAATAATTAAATTTAATAGTTTAAATTACCAATTTAACTAAAAAAATTATAATTTTTTTTAAATATTGGTACCGTTTGTTAAAAATTTAATTGTTTTAATAAGTTTTGATTTACTTATTTAATTTTTTATAAGGATTTTAAGTCTATTCAAACTCTTTTAAAAAATTTAAGGATCAAAAACAGATTTATGAAAAATGTATAAAGACAAAAAAAAAAACATATTATTATTTGAGCTTCTCTAGAACCTCGAGCTCAAGTAACTTCCATAAAACATCATAATTGGAAATCAGTTATTTATGATTGAGATTTACCTAAAAGATAGAGCTGACTTTAGTCTTGAAATGATCATGATAATCATAATTCTAGAAAGGTGATCAATAGAATAGTTCTTGTAGTTGAGTTTGATATTTGCAATAGTAGCAAAAAATGAAAGGAAATCATCCTAAAATTCACATGTTACATAACTTGTGTTTCAATAATTTCATGGTAAATTTATGATATTTCTTACTGTTACATTAAATTGTATACTCTGAAAATAATAATAATAATAATAATAATATTACAGGTATAATTCTTATTTTATATTTATGACATTACAGTCATTAGATATTATAAATATTATATATTAAATAATTTTTTTATTGGTTCGAAGAAGACATCAATAAATATTATAAATTAAATTTGTATATAAATGTTATACATTAAATTATTATTTTCTTTTGGATCGGTTCGAATAAGACGTCAATAGATATTATAAATTAAATTTATCTACAAACTTAAACTAGACTAAACCTTTAATCACTGAAAGTATGAAAATTCAGTTACTGAGTGTGGGCATCCAATTTCATCTATATAAAAATAAAATAATAATAATAATAATAATAATAATAATAATAAATAGTAGCATTTATTTTGAAAATATAAGAAAAAAATTAAAAAGGTAAAAAAAATTCCATTTTTCTTAATATTTTAATTTTAAAATAAATAAAAAAATTATATATATATATATATATATATATATATAACTAAAAATATAATTTCTCTTATTAACATTTTACACTTTTAAGAAAAAATAATAAAATTTATTTTAATTAACTGTTTCCAATTTTTTAAATAAATATATATATATATATATAATAATTATTTTTATTAGTTTTTATCTTTTTGACATAAATAAATAAATGAAAAAAAGGAAGTAATTGTTTTTATTATTATAAGTTTTTTTATGAAAAAAAAATTGAAATTTTTTTAAATAAATTTTGAGATATGAATACGTCTACTTACGTCCTCACCATTTTTTTAAGTTAAACTTTTAAAATACGAGTATGATCGTATACGTCATTGTGTCTCTCTTCAAAATAGTATAAATAACAAAAAAATATAATTTTTTCCAAAACTAAAAAATACATAATCCTTTCCAACAAATTTTTACAGAGAACTACGAGACTTTGATTTCTCATTTTAAATGAAAATACATAGGAACAAGAATAATTCTTGTCAAGCCACAAAAAACTTAAAAATATTTCTGTACATTCTTTTTTATGGGAAAAAACGTATTACCCTACTAATAGAAAAAATAAGAGAAAAATAATCAATACAAGAATATAACGTGAAAACTCCAAAACTCGAAAAAAAATCACAACCGTTATCTAATGATAATCAGAGAACCATTATGTGAAAATTTTACAACACATAAACAACAATTTCATGTCATTTACCCCAAGTACACTCACACTCTCCAAAACAAGAATTTAAACTAAACCTCACAACACTCTACTACAAGAGTATAAGAAAAGTCAAATATAAGCTTAAAGTGTCTTTGACAAGGGTGAGAAACCTCATAGACTTTAAGTCCATTATATAGTTACTATCACCCACTTCATTGTTTATCCAATGTGATGTGAAACTTTTCAAGATGTAATATTTTCATCAACCCAACAATCTCCACCTTGATTAAAATAAATTTATCTTCCTTTTTATCTCCATTTCCTATACTATAAATCATCCATATTCCACCATAAAGAGTATACTCACTTGAAATTAAATCATTCCAAAAAATTTCTTTCACTGCACACTTGCATCATTGTTATCCAACGTCTATGTATAATCACCACACACCTTATATCAATATTAGCCAATGTCCTTGCACAATTACCGCTAATAAAAACTCACCATTACGCGGTTATGCCATGAGGATACTTAACTCATCTTTTTACAAAAGATCACCCTCTCCCAACATGAGAGAGACGGTCTTTGAATCTGACTTACAGTTTTGTGATGTTTCTTCATTTGGACAATTTTTCCTTACATGGCCAGACTTTCCACATTTCCAACATACCACATTCTTTCTATGGTTCTTGTTCCCATATGTCCCACTTCTAACAGTCATTATTGAGTTTGTTGGCATGCTTGTCATTCTTATCTTTTCAAAAAGAATATTACTAGCAACTTCATCAAAGCTCAAATTTTTCTTACCATACATCAAGACAGGCTTGATAAACTCATAGGAAGACGGAAGAGACGAAATGAGTCTTAATGTTATATCTTCTTCTTCAATCTTAACTCCAATAGTCTCTAATTTAGAGGCAATCTCATTAATATTACTAAGATGTTCAGAGATTTTCATATCATCACCTATGCGTAAGTTATGAAACTTCTCCTTCAACAACAATCGATTTGAGATGTCAACCGAAAGCAATAAGGGGGAGATTGATGGAAATGTCCTTACATTCCCTAGAGATGATTTTGATGATGATTCAAGTCAAATACATTCAAGTCAACACCATTCAAGATGAATTAAGGACAAGCTGAATTTATGACGTTGGTGAAAATGTGAAACATTTTCCTACATGCCCAAGATATGTTTTGGATAAAGATGATGATTCAAACAAGCCCAAGATGGTTCCTGAAGACTAAATAGAGTCTTAGAATACTGGATATGGAGGTACAAGTTGATGAAGTAATATTATGCATAAGCCTCCAAAGCACAAGTGTGATAAAATTCATAACATGATATTTTTCACTGTCATAATTAATTATGATGCATCAGAAATGGAAAAATTATTTTCTCTATCATAATTGATTATACTGGTAATATAATCAATTATGACAATTCAAATTTAAAAAAATATATCTGTTTTAAAGAATAAATGTTTTTGAATACATCCTGATTTTCTCTATGATATTATTAATGTCCAACAACCATTTTCTGATGTTATTTTTCTATTTAATTAAGTTTTGATGAAAAATAAAAAACACACAATTACAGAATTCGAAAATACAATTTACATTCAATCAGTTTTGAGAAAAGAATTCTGAGCAAGGCAACAAAGATATTTTACACCTTTTGAGAAAACCTTCTTCTCTACTGTCTTCTGTGCTTTCATTGTTAATTACACTTGTTCTTGGAGATTGACATTCTACAGACTTCTACAATTTGTTGTTTCCATTACCCAGGTGTGTCTGTTCTTATTTTTATTACCTTCATCCTTTTTGTATTGGTGAAAAGGAGGTGTTTTTCATCCCTAGTGTGATTCTAGGGAGGTGTTCATCCTTAGTGGGATTCTAAGGAGGTGTTTTCATCCTTTGATTTTTTCAGAGGAGGTGTTCATCCCTAGTGGGATTCTAGGGAGGTGTTCATCCTTAGTGAGTTTCTAAGGAGGTATTCATCCTTAGTGAGTTTCTAAGGAGGTGATTGTCTTTTTAATTAGTTTACTTTTTACTAGTTCTTCTGCTGAGTTGATTGTAATTTGTAAACTGAATTTAAAAGATAGTGAATGGGGAGTCACTCTTGTGTTAAGAGTTGACTGGGAACTGGATGTAGGGTTGGTTATACCCGAGCTAGTATCAATCTCTATGTGCTCTTCTCTTTCCCTTATCTCTTTCTCTTTTCCTGATTATATTATTGCTTCCGCTTTATCTGTGTTCAAACAAATTATTGATTCACAAATAAATTTTTAATTTGACATCTATTTTAATTTGTGCATCTATTTATCTCCCCCCCTCTAGATGCAATTTGTCTAACACTTCATCTCTTCAAAAAGAATCTTACTAGCAACTTCATCAAAGCTTAAAGTTTTCTTACCATACATCAAGACAAGCTTGATAAACTCATAGGAAGACGGAAGAGACGAAATGAATCTTAATATTATATCTTCTTCTTCAATCTTAACTCCAATAGTCTCTAATTCAGAGACAATCTCATTAATATTACTAAGATGTTCAGAGATTTTCATATCATCACTTATGCATAAGTTATGAAACTTCTCCTTCAACAACAATCGATTTGAGATGCCAACAAATATATTCTTATTTGTTATGCTAATTTAATTACTTTGTCCATTTTTTTCTTTCAATTTAT